CTTACCGCCCAGGTAATCATATTACTAAATTCAAAAGAATCCCCTAAAGAACGGACAAAGACCCTAAAAAGAGGAAGAGGAAAGGCGACAAGGCTGATCGATCAACCCAAGACTTTCCTCCTCTTCCGAATACAGGATCAATTCCATTTCACACCTCCCCCAATTCATCAAATCGAAACACTATTAATGCTTCTATTACCAAGCCAGGGACCACGTTATCTACCTGTCAGGTGACTCCGTCAGCCGATCTTACTTCTCCTCCGTCATCTCGTCCAACCGTCGTGGCATCAACCCAACCCTCACGACAAGGGCGCATAACCCCGATCGTCTTACGCGACGGGACGAGATGGCGTGCTTTAAATTTCAAATTTATTTCCCTAGGTATTAAAATAGATCGCGCGGTTGCCGTCGATGCGGGAATAAGGATTATTCCTAAATCCGAGGACGACTACCGTAAGATCGTTCGCCTATTCCGAGAGGAAGAAGTGCCTCATCACACTTTTCCTCTCCCTTCGGAACGGAACATCCATGCGGTGGTTCGAGGAGTTCCCGTCAACTTTTCGGGTACTGAGATTAAGGGAGAACTGAAGCAGAGGGGATATAGCTATCTTCACATCATTCGATTGAAGCGGAGCGGCGGCGCGCCCATGCCTTTGGTGGTCGTGATACTGCCCAAGACTGAAAAGTCTCAGCAAGTGTTCAACGAACACGAACTGCTGGGACTGGCCATTCGAGTTGAGGTTCAGAAGAACTCCAGACTCATTGGGCAGTGTCACCGCTGCCAAAAGTATGGGCATGCGCAGTCATATTGCACTGCACCGCCCAAATGCTTAAAATGTGCAAAGGACCACATGACGCATTTGTGCCCCCTCACAGAAGAGGAAGAACGCAAGTGCGCGAACTGTGGAGAGGGACATCCCGCAAATAGCCGGACTTGTAAGTTCACTCCAAGGAGGAACTTGCAAGTTATAGCGCAAAGGCGCAATATATCATACGCGGACGCAGCTCGGGAGGCAACCTTGCCTGCCCCCTCTGCCCAACCTCCCTTGAGCGCGCAAAATGTGGACCTGGCAACCGCGCTAAGGTCCTTACAACAAATAATAAGCCCACTGATTAGCACTACCCAAGCGTTGCAGGCGATATTTCCTGGAAATGTCTAGGTACAATAGTAGACAGCCTGCATTCATCAAAATTCTTTTTTGCAATTGTTTGGGCATGAGGGATATTCCCAAAAAACGGGAATTTCATCAAGCTCTTTTGGATGAAGGTATAGATGTGGCCTTGCTGCAGGAAACGTTGCTTAATCCGGGAGATCGTTTAGCTCTGGTGACAGATTGAATGGTCGAGGCGGCGGTTTAGCAGTGTTGATTAAACGCGGTATAGACTATTATAGAAGCACTAATGCGGAGATGCATAGCATCGAAGCAGCCTCTGTGGTGGTCAATATGGCGGGAGGTGTCTCGTTGAAGGTCACATCAGTGTATGTCAGGTGTGGTGCCAGGCTACAAGAGGCGGATCTGGAGGTCCTTTTGGACTACTCGGGTCCGCTTATTGTGGCAGGGGACTTCAACTGCAAACATCGAGCATGGAATTCTAGGTTGAATTCCACTAGTGGGGTTCGATTGTACAACCATGTGATGCGAAATGGGTACCTTATACATAGCACCGAAGAGCCGACACATCATCCATTCAACCATCTTCAGGCACCAGATGTCATCGATTTCGCGATATCTAAAAACTGTAGATACAGTATCTCTTCTCGAATCTTGTATGATATCTCTAGTGACCATCTACCTGTTGTCTTGGATGTGGGCAATGAGCAAACTTCTGAGGAGGCAGCTCCTCCAAGGAAACGCATTGATTGGGACCTATACAAGTTGCTCCTTAGAGAGTTTCCCAATATCCCGATTATAGATGATGTGTCTGGAATAGATGCCGCTCAAGCGGAATGGACAAGTTTCATTCAAGCAGCTCTACAGCGTGCAGCTGTATTTCCTGTACAACGACACGGCAGACCTTTTTTGCCTGCGGACATTCGTCAGAAAATCTCTGACAAAAGAGCCGCTATTAAGCAGGCAAAAATGTGTTGTCATCCTGATGACATTCGTAGGGCTACAAATCTTGTCCATGAAGTGAGAAACGCACTGCACGAACTCCGCAACGAGCAATGGAGCGACTTTCTGGCGGGAATGCTTGATTCAAGTATTCCTCTCTGGAGGGTCGCAAAGTCACTCAGAAACGGAAAGCGAGAACAACTCCCACACATCCACGGTCCTGAAGGCATAGTCTTCAGAACGGAGGATAAGGTCGAGGTTTTCGCTGATGCCATGGAAAAACAGTTCTCTCCCAACTATGATCTCGATAATGACCTCGACGAGGAACAGCACATCGTACGATCCGTCAGGAGATATTTTAGGGCCAACGGCGTTAGCGGAGGCACTGAATCCGCTTCAGATGACTCTTCTTCAGAAGATTCGTCTGAGGCTCCACATAGCACATTAGCGGAACCCTCCGAGTTTCCACATTGCACACCAGCGGAGTTACTAAGTCATATTAAAGACCTCAAGGTACGTAAAGCACCTGGGGAGGATCAAATCACCAACAAGGCGTTGAAGCTGCTCTCGCCGAAAGCCCTGACATACTTGGTGACAATAATCAATGCGACGCTCAAAATCCAGTACTTCCCTGCTGGGTGGAAGACTGCTGAGGTCACCATGATTCCAAAGAAGGTGGGTTCGATATTTCCTCAGGATTACCGTCCCATAAGTCTGCTGTCAGCTCCTTCTAAGCTCGCCGAAAAGGTGATTTATCGTCACCTTGAGAATTTTTCGTCAAATCACCATGTGATTCCTGACGTCCAATTCGGTTTTCGGTCCGAGCATAGCACCGAGCTACAGGCAGTCAGGCTGGTGGAGCATGTAACCAGAGGGTTCACCCTTAGCAAGAGTACTGGCATCTTGCTTTTGGATGTCTCAAAAGCCTTTGACAAGGTGTGGCACGCGGGCCTCCTCTATAAACTAATCCAAAAGGGTTTTCCTTTTTGGCTTCTAAAATTACTGAAATCCTTTCTTGAAGGAAGGAAGTTTCGGATCAAAATTAACAATGTTTTGTCAACAACACGGCGAGTACGGGCCGGTGTTCCTCAGGGTTCGGTCCTAGGACCAATTCTTTATTCGCTTTTCATCCATGATGTCCCTTCCCCCAGCAACTGTGAAGTCTACCTCTATGCTGACGACACTGCACTTGTCGCCCAGTCGTGTACTGGTGATCTGGTTCACGATGGGTTGCTGAATGCGGTGGACGAAGTTCTAGAGTGGGCGGAACGGTGGCTGATAAAAATTAATCATTCGAAAACGCAGGCTATTTATTGTACCAAAAAACGTCGCGGCCCCCCAGCAGAGGTTTCTGTAGACGGAAATCGAGTACCATGGACAAATTCTGCCAAGTATCTCGGTGTCACCCTTGATAAAGGCATGACCTGGCAGAAACATACAGCATCCATAAAAACAAAATTCCAAATTGCGTTTCGGCAACTATATCCTTTGTTATGTATATCCTCCAAATTGAGTTTGATAAACAAAGTTCGACTATATAAAATGATTATTAGACCAGCCATTACTTATGCATGTGCGGCTTGGTGTTTTCTTGCCAAGACACGCATGCAAAGTCTTCAAGTACTGCAAAGCAGAACTTTGCGGACAATTTGCAACGCTCCATGGTATGTCTCAAATGAGACACTACACAGAGACCTTGACATTCCTTACTTGAGGGATTATGTCCAGCTTCAGGCGCAGCGACGTTATAGTCAAGCGGAATCGCACAGCAACCCTCTGTTGCGTGACTCAGTGGACTACACAGTGGAGCAAGTTCGTAAACATTCAAGGCCACGGCTCGCATTGTAATCAAAAGTTAGCGTGAATCTTTAGTAAACTCAAAATTACACTTTAACAAAACCGAATCAAAAATTTGTCTAGTTCACCTCAAAATTAATCCGTGTACCAAGTCAAAAAGCCTAGGTGTTTCCTCTTAAACTAAGCATATCTGTTTTTCTTTGTTCTTCTCCTTTTTTCTTCTCTTTTTCCTTGACTTTGTCTGGTTTCTGGGCAACCAGGACTGACAGATTCGACTAACGTACATCAGACAGTGACTAATGGGCAAAGGTCCTACGGACCGCCCAGACAAATAAATGACGAATAGTATCAAACCATATGGGCCATAACAAAACTAGCTACCTATTACATAAGCACAACACAAACGTAAACAAAATAGGTATTACGATATTACTTTTTATAAATTTGTGGTAGGTACCTATACATGACAGAATTCTTCTTCTTAAAAAAAATAGATTCTCTCATTTGTTTAAACATAGGTATATAGGTATGTTTCTATATATAGTATATCTACCTACCTATATGCAAGTATGTATGTACATCTGTCCCTCCTAGCCAGGGCGATGTGCGCGGTAGATAGTGTATATGAATATGTGTCGTGGCGGTAGACCAAGAAGGCGTAGGTATATATTTAGGTAAATCGTACCTAACCGTAAACGTAGAAGAGTACCTATATTTTCTTCATACTTAGAACTGATTTATTATTAATTATATTAATAAGACGAATATGAATTTAGAAACCTATTTTTAAATTTCCTTCATACCTACCAATCCCTCTGATTTATGCAATTTACGTCGCCCACGGTGGTTCAGAACTAAAATATCAAACGCATCGGGATCGTTGAATGGGAAGGTATATAATATACCTGCCTAGTTCGGAGGTTGAAAAAATAGCGCTTACGAAAAAGGCGCTAAAATATTCCGTGAGACATTCAGCTGCTCTGCTCGTATCACAAAGCTGATGTACTAATTTTCCTTTGCAATGGTTCCCTTTAATGGAGGGTCCTTATTTTCTTTCACTTTTGTAGGTACTTTTATCTTTTTCTAATTCATACAACATACCCTACCCTATTTGCGTTTCCCCTCCCCAAGTGCATTCGCTTTGAGGGGGCGCGATTGTAGCGCTCCCTAGCGAAGCGCGTTGAAATCAGAAATGAAAATGGCGATTTCGTTCAAGTCGTGTTCATTTCATCTTGTCCAGTCGATCAGGGTGTATCCTTTTAACAATCCGTAGTGCACGTGTGCAGTGAATATTGTGGTAAAATTGTTCGAAAAACATGGAAATGGAAGAACCGTGTCAGAAAACAGCCGAAATTGAAGTAATGACCAAAATAGAAGATAAACTACCTTGCAAAGATGACGTCGTTGAGAAAAGCAGTGCGCATAATCGTACGAACTTGACCGACGACAGTGAACATCCGCCGAAGAAACGGAAAACCAGGCGCGGGAAATCCAAACGGAAACAGCCATACCAGAAAAACTCTAGGAAATGCAATAATAAACTTATCAAACCAGAGGCGCCGCATAATAGCAATCAATTTTTGCTCGAAGATCATGGTGAGTTACGTATTTTTTTATTAAAATCAGTATGGAATACACTTTTATTAGTTGCTCATTTTGAGTTTCATCTCTTCTGATTTTAAAATGTTCTCTAACAGTCTGGATTCTAAGCAAATTGTAACTGCTGTGAAATATCCTATACCTAAAGTAGCTTATTACAATAATACTTTGGGATATTATTATCCCTACAAAATGTTTTTCTAACTCATTCAAAATGTTACCTTGAGGCTTCCCAGCTTGTACCCTAATTATTTTCAGAATTTGTTTTTGTAATATAGGCATCATATGTTTTTAGGATTCAATCCAATGATGTTGTTCACAATCTCATTTATTCAGGTCATTCTAAGGCTGAAAATATAGTGGAACGCCGAACTGAGGGGAAGATATTTTACCTTTGCAGATGACACTGTACTGGTATTATACTGGAACAGGCGAAATTGCTTTAACGAATCTTATTAATGATGACCTGAGTAGGTATCTTAAATGGCTGTTTTCGAATAGATTAAAAATTAACATTGAAAAAACAAAATACGTTATATTTAAACAAAAAAATAAGATAGCAATAATCTAAATATTAACATAAATAATACAGTACTAGAAAAAGTGTCAAGTATTAAATATTGGGGATTACTAATAGATGAAAGTTTAAATTGGTCACTTCACTTAAATGGAATTTGTGATAAAATAATTTCAATGCTATCTGCCTTATATAAGAGTCGAGATTATTTGCCCAACAAAAGCAAATTTCAAATTTATAATGCCTTCTTTCTCACACATTTTAGGTACCTCTTGCCGGTATGGGGTATGTGCGGTGAAGTTAATTTTAATAAAGCTCAAGTTTTACAAAATAAAATTCTGGAAATATTGTTTAATTTTGATTGGCTTACAAGTACTTTATTCAAATTTAAATTTAAACAAATTAAGAGTGTTATTGGAGGTGGAACAATGTAAACTTGTTTATAAAATTATAAATAATCTACTAAAAAGTAACATAAATATTAGGTTCTACCATAACGTGCATGATCACCAAACAAGATCACTAAATAATGTTTATCAAATTTCCACAAGAACTAATATAGGTTTAAAAAATCTGATCACAGATGCAATTAAAAAATTTAATAATTTACCTCATTGTATAAAAGATTCAAATAACTATAGAAGTTTTGTTAGAGAATTGAAAGATTTTAAAAATGTTAATGAATTTATTTGTTGAAATTATGAGCAACATTGCAGTGTACCTGTAGTTCATAGATATTGATTATTGTCTTGTTATTCTCGGGGCCAGTGTTTGCAAACACTTATTGGGAAATTATTGTTAAAACTGGTTATACATTTTGTATTATTGTGTTTAAATAAATTATTTCAAAAAATCATATCAATTGTATACAAAACTAGATTTTAAAAATAAGTTCAAAAATCTCAGTTAAGTAAATATTTTTGTTTTATAACTACTATGTGATTAAAAATATTCCTATCAGTGATGTCTTTTTATTTTATAACAACGTAAATAAACCTGTTACCTTAATGCTATAATTAAACGTTAGGACCAGAGTCCTATTGGAGTTAGATTAAAATTGGTCCAATTTGCTGTTTTTAAATTTACATTTGACTAAATTTAATATGTAATTGAATGTTCCAATTTTCTTTCTTGTGTACTGGTAAAACTTTTCAGGATGCTGTCGCAATTTTTCATATAAAATATGGAATTCACCATATTCTCACCTGCATTTAAAAATTTTGTGCATACTACTGGATCAGTGTTTTTGTAACAAATGCCAATACCATAGTTTAGATGTATTACTATCCAAATCTTGAGATGCCCATAACATAACTAGAAAATACTTTGATTGTACTCGCATTAAACCCGCCTAGTCACGTTTTACTATGTCACTTTACTATACTTTCACAACGCTAAGCTAAAGAGGCGCGATGTCGCACTCTTTGCTCGTCACTGTCCTCGTTGCTCCACTATGTTTTCAGCCTAATCCATACCACATAGGTAATCATATTAATATGTATCTCAAACATACTTCCATTTAATTCTAGGTTCTATTGAAGATTTGGATGAAAATTTTAAGAACACAGATCAAGTGTCCACATCCACCATCACAAGAACAAGGGATTCTAGTTTCAGTGGGGACTCTGATGGTGAATTTTACTCTTCACCTGATGATGAGGAGCAGTTTTTGATCAAAGACTTTGATGACCAATATGAAAGCCTACATGCAGAGCGGCTACAATCCTTGTCTAAGGAAGAACTAGTTGAAGAATACTTGCAACTTGAAAATAAGTTGGACCAACTTTCCAAAAGACTACAAACCACCGAAGATGATGACTTGGTTAATAGACCAGAGCTCAAACAAGAGGTAGAAAGACTTACTATAGAGAATGAGAGACTTAGGAGAGAAAATGAATTGCTACGCAGTAAAATGGAGAGAACTGATTCAGAGGATTCAGAAACAGATTCAAGGGACTCTTGCAGCAGTTCCTCTTCATCCAGTGATGATTGCAGTTCTTGTAGTAGCAGTCATTCCAGCAACTCTAGAGTCTCATTGACTCAGGTGAATTACACACAAACCAATGGACCTGTTTCTAACATAGATCTTGAGGCAAAACCTGTTTAATTCAGAGCTGTATTTATTATATTCACTGTGTTTTGTTTAGTAGGAGCAGATGATTGAATTTCAACAGTATTTTGAAGTTACACAGTGAGAATTCAAAGTGGTAAACAGAAAATACGATTACTTTTTTATCGTTTTATAGCTAAATCACAATTGGACCGCGTTATGCAATACGGAACCAACAAGCAAAAACATCTTTCTGAGTAAACAGAGAAAAAAGATTTTGTTTGTTATTTCAAATCATGATCGTTCAAAAATAAGAAAACTGTACACTTTTTCACGGCTTTATTTAGAGGTTGCAAATGCCGAGAGAATAGCATTGTTTGTGGGTTACCTTTTCCTTTTTTAATATCAATTTCTTTATAGTTATCAGTGGCGTCGTGGGTTGATAAAGATACTAAAAGGCTTCTCTTTTAAAACCTTAATTTCTTTAATTTTCAACCAGTTGATCTTTTCCTCTTCACAGCTTTTTTTCTATTAGTTATTTCCTTTTCAAGCTTCTTGGTACTAACAGTCTTTTTTTTCTATGCTCACCACCTCAATGGGACGCTTCTTTCTACAGGACTTCATAACCTGAATGTAGTCTTCAGGAGAAAACATAGTGTGCCTTTTGAGAACACATCTACATCCCCAAAATCACTGTCATTGGACAGAAAACTGTCTGGATGTCAAAAATCTCAAGATTATACTTTTTAGGTGTGGAGATTCCTCAAGAGCACATTTCAACAAAAGTACCATCTTAATATTTCTGTTTTGACCTCCACAGGAGTCGCTCCATAATATAAGGTTTTTAACGGTTTTTGAGACGTTATTTGCAATATAACGCATCAAACAAGAGCCCACCTCTTGGGCACCGCGACCAGCTTGTCCTTCAAGCCACAGGTTGAAAGTGGATTTTCCCTCCTTCGCTGCGTATATCTCACAGTTATAAAGGCATAGCTGTCTTTTATAAAATATAATGTTTGTACTAAGACGTGGTAACGGAAGTGTTTTCTTCATATCAAAGGTCAGTGTCTCTATTTCCTTATTCTGTGTTGCTTCTTTGATATCACTATTCATCTTAGTTCTGGCTTGTTCTGCTTCAACCAAGTGCATACTATGTTCAAAGCTAATCTTACTCTTCTGTTCTCCTGCTGGTAAGTTATTGAGATTTATGTCACATTTATTACAGGTATCTTTCTTGGGTTTTTTCACCTTTAAGTTGAACTTCTTTAAAAAAAATTTCTTGTAGGAGGAAAAACTCACGGTATTCACATTTTCGTCTGTGTAAAGCTTATACATTACTGTAAGTGTCGTTCCTTCTGCCAAATATTCCTGTTTGCCACTTTTGGCCCTACAGTAGTGAGACTTATAGCGGGGAAACTTATTAATGTGACTGATAACCGCATTATTTTGTTCATCACTGATTTTGTTGTGATCACCAGCAATACCTCGGCGATCAAGTATTGATAACGATCTTATCTTACACAGTAATGTGTTAATACGTTTAGTTGAGATTTGGAGCGTCTTAACGAACATATCTCTACAAACGAGTTTCTTGTTAACATAGTAATATCTAGAAAATTGTCGTTTCTCCGAGTTTATAGCACCAGTGTTTTTTCTTTTTACTTTCTCCTCCTTAACGCATGTTGTTAAATAGGTTGTTTGAACGTTATAATCCCCCAAGTTTCAATAATGGTCAAACAATTTATTTTCTCTCGTCAACAGATACTTTTTGGTCACATTTCATGGCACAGGAACATTTATGATATATGAATTCTTTTGGTTGAAGTAGTTGGACTTGGAAACAAATCGTTATCTTGTGAATAAGATTGGCTAGCAGCCACTTGACTGCAGTCAAATATTATGTCGTTGTTAATTGCCTCAGTTAATGCATAAGAAATGTCTAAGTTCAAAGTTGTGCCATGTCCTGATTCAGTACTAGGACTAGAGGATTCGAAAGCAATTTCTTTTCCAACAACGTTTGTATTATTTTCTGGTAAAATGGCAGCCATCGGGACATCCAGATTCAACATTTCAAGAATTTTTAATCCACGTGACATTCTGCAACAAGAGAAATTTCTTGATTTTTAAATGTTTGCATAACATGTATCTCCAATAATACGTTACTTCTTATTCACAGAAAATTGTGTATCTCCAGATCCAAAAATATGATGTCTTAAACTAAGGAATATTTATCCAATTGAACTAATTGTGGTATAAAAACGCATGATTGAGAACTTACCTTGTAGCATGTAACCACAACATCAATATTTATGGACTATTTTGTAAGAAGTGAGCACTTTTAGACGACGTCAACATAACTCTGTACTACACTATAGGGACAGATGGAGATACACAATTTTCGCGCCGTTTCTGAGCAGTATGGAGTTACACAGATTCCTAATCGCGCTATTTGATCCATTTAAATTACGTTAGGAGATATACGGCTTTTACTGCCGATAGCAATCGACGTTAGCCAACAGATGGTGCTAAAACCTCGATTTTGATAAAAATGGAGTTACACGGTTTTCTGGTTTCAAGTACCGTTTGTTCTTCCAAAACAAAAAAGGAATAACTGACACCTTGCAATAAGGTTTCAAGTATACTTGGAACTTCGCTGAAAATTGCAGTGACCTTGCTTTGAAATTTGCAATAGGTTTCTTTCACTCATAGATGGCGCCAGCAGCTATTTGAAGCCTGGTTTCTTGTTGCGAAACATGGCTAGCTGATTCATGATTTAGAAAATGTAAATACCTCATTTTAGACCAAAATGTGGTTTGGTTCCATATTGCATAACGGGGTCCAATTGTATAGCACTTAATATTGTTTTAAAAGATGTTATAACCATATTTGAATCTGTAACATACATTGTAAACTTATTTTGAAATCTTAAGTTTTACTAAATATATTTTGAAATTTGTATGAAATGTCACCATATTTGCTGTGCATCTATTATCTACTTCTACTGAACATGTTGTATTTATTCATTCCTGTAGGATACAAATATTTGCTGTTTGACCAATGTTAATTTGTATATAGGCAGTATAAATGGTGTTTAAATGTTTCATAGTTATGGGACATCAAATTATTTCAAAAGAAATTAAATTTGGAAAGAAAAACATTTACAATAGACACATGAAATGTGTTCTGAAATGATTTTGTAATAGGTTCCAATCTAAATATGACAGAAAAAGTATGATATTTTAGTGGCAACTGTAAAAAAATCCTCAAGACAAAATAACAGCCAAAAATGTCAAGAGTGGTCAAACATTGCCAACAATTATAGCAAGAACAGGACTGCTGGATACAAGAGCAGATTTAGATGACCCCCTCCCCTAGGTGCCCCACTCTGCTATTTTTTTTTTCAAGAAAATATTGCTGTATCTTAGTGTAAAATTATCTTGCTAGTCCAGAATCATGAGACGTACGGCCCTAGACCTACCCCACCCCAAGCACTTCATTTTATTACAAGGTCATTTACTGTCATACGTGCTGCTGAACTGCTAAGCATGCAGCCGCTAAACCATCCCCTGAGATGAACATCTCCCTAAACATGCTGTGACCACTACACAGTGCTCCCCCTAGACAGATTCCTAAATCTGCAATTGGCTAGATATATCACATGCTACAGACAAGCTGGCATTGAATCCAGTCGAATGTTGACCAGATTATTGCATAACTATCAAATGTAAAATGTCATTTTACTATAGATGTTACGGATTCAAGATGATTTAGCTTCAGCTGTTTGCAATGTATTTTCCCCACAAGTAATTTTTACGAATATGAAGCTTAAGATAAAATACCTCTGTGTACAATTTATTAAGATTCAAAATTGCTAGGATGTTTATCTACATCACAATTTTTTATTAATTGTTTGAATGTTTTATAAAGATATTGATGAAAAGCTGTAGTGATAATTTATTAAAATAATGTTAAGTATTGACAAAGTAGTTTTTTTGCAGTATTCAGAGAAGCTACCCCTGTTAATGCAAGCCTGAAGATTTTTCAATCTTCCATGTTCTCTATAACAGTTGTAGTAGTCACTAATTGCCTGACTGACAATATTGAACTATTCTTCATTTTTCAGATTTTAACACGACATTGTAGGTCATAGTCACCTACATTGCATGCAGAGGTATTGTAAGTCCCTGCGCAAGTGTTCCCCCCCACCACTGGTCTTGAACGATATTTTGGCGTAATAGCTTGAGGCGCGTCATTTGGCTGCATAACTATGATAAGAGCAGATGATCACTTACAGAACGACTGTAAGTCCAATGTCAGCAACAAATATAAGTCTACTTTCACGGACTAGTCTTACTTTTTTTCCGGTAAAGCATTCTATATCCAAAATCTCTCAGAAATGTTAGGCAAGACACAAACACGAAAAATAGCTCTCCTGTAAAATATGCATTTTGTGACTTAGAATACTTCTGCATTCAAGCGACGTTCTATTTTCTGCTACATCTTACCAGTTTTGCAAGTTCCAAGTTGATCTACTTGAGGTCATCTTACTGTTCACATGTATTGATTTTCTCAGACTACATTTTTAAAATTTCAATATTTGTGCACTTTTTTGCATTGGCCTCCTGCAATAATGTTAGGAATTAATTTTAGAACATTCACTTGGCTCATCTGTTCAGTTTATATGACGGTTTTATTAATTTTTTTTTGATACGCATTAATATACGTACAGAAAAGTGACTGTATTTATCTTTGCTCTACAGATACTAAAATTATATGCTGTTCATTGAAGAACCGGAAGCTTTTATAATGAGAACAGCAAATAAAATTCAAAATATTTGTACTAAATCAGTTGAGGATTTGGCTATGCTGCTGTATTCCAACTATGGGCGCCCATTAGGATGGCATATGGTTTCTGCTTGAGTAAAATATTCTTATAAGAGTACCCGTTTCTTGAACGAGTGGCACGTGTTTTTAATACTCAAAAACAAACCTTAAAAATTATTTTTTCTCCCACCTCTTTAAACAGCTAGCAACTCTACTTCAAACTGACTGACTGGACCTTCAAGCCTAACCTTGCCGCTTTAAATTTTGCTGTATTGGCGCCCATAATTCGAAGTAGTGGTTTACATTTTGAAAACGAATCGTGGCAGAATTCGCCATCTTCATCTGTTTATTGAAACTCAAAACAATGCTTTTTCGATTTTTACTACATTCATTTTCGTAATATTTTAATGTAGTCATAATGTTTGTGCTTTGTGAGAGTGATGATCTGTAGATGTCTTTCTGCAGGTTCAATAGCTCAGCAATTTTTTCACAGAAGTTTTACGTTATGTTTAAGTGAAAGTGTGGAACCTTTAAGGGGTTAAAGGTTATCATCAAGTGAAATCAGAATAAAAAAATGCTATTATTGTAAAGGTAGAGATATTTATTTTCATTTCTGGATACATAAAAGAACTATAAAACATAATACAAAATTATTATTATATATAAACTTTGTTACAGTTTAATAAAAGTTGTAGCATATATTTCCAGAAATATTAATCGCACACAAACTTAACAAACTCCATCTATGTTGTTTAAAACAAAATACAAATAAACTTTATAAAATAAGGACATAACAAAAAACCTTGAAATAGATGCATATAATTATAAACTCATCAACATAAACGCTTTGATAATTTATATGAAAATATTTTGATCATTAGATTAAAATTTTGCAATATAATGATAGTAAAAGAATGTTAAAAAGGTGGTTATGCATCCCATATTTTACTTCAGGGCAACACTAATCTTGAGCTTATGTGATCAACAAAAAATATCAATTATTTGAAACAAAAATTTAATTTTTTATAAAGATATCGGAAACTATATTCCATACCATCAGTAACTGAGCATATACACAAAGTGGTGACTGAATATATATATTTTAAAGTTGATCAATATTTATAATAACAGATTACTAATATGTACATGTGTAACAGACGCGACAAATAATAATTATATCATTAAAAACATTCTCGTCTCTCATTGTTGTACAGTGTAATATTAAAAAGGGTCTTCAAACAAAAACAGTTAGTTCAAGATCATATAGCCGCCAGATCTACCGTCATTTCATAAAACATACCTTTAGCTATAAATGAGGTATTTCAGGAAAAAATGCGAAGAATGTTTATTTTCATTTTAAAATGTCATGGTGGACAAGCGAACATCACGTATTTCACCTGTTAGCCAACCATGTTTCAATGTCCAAAAAATTATCCGAGATGAAATGAGATACCGTAGGGTCATACATCACAGCTATAATTCACCTCCCCGCACTAAACAGAAATCTACTTAGGAAACATTAGTGTCGGTGGCGCTGTAGCCAACCATATGAGACACTGGCCTTTCCAAAGTATATTACTATTTAGTGCAGAGATAAACGTAATGTAAGCTTATTGCGAAACAGTAGACTGTGTATATACTTATGCTACATATTTATTTAGTCATAAGTTCGTGCAAAGTTAAAGGGCCGAATTTGAGTCAGGACCCGCGAACAAACATGACAGTCGCAGAAGTGCTTGTATAGTGCTCGTACAGAGAATCTGTCATTGTGAAACATCAATTTAAAAAAATAAGTTGAGCAATACTATATATGTGGTGCCTTGCAAACCGTAATTACAGCATTTGGATTTAAATAGTGACGGTAACAAAATTTTGTCACTAGTTTCCCAAGTATCGGGTAGCGGCCACCTGTCTCGGTCACGACGCGAACCGGCACACTTACGTTTCTACCAACAATACAGTGTCGTGGTTAAAGTGGTTTATAGACTCGTGTTCTTCCTACATGTGTCATTAGTACTGCACTATTCATAACAAAAATTTCTTATTTATAAAATGACGGTCAGATCTCATTCTAAATCCATTGACATCATGTTACAATGTGAAAACTGCTTAACATCTCATTCTGCTATTTATTAGCAAAATCTGAATAAAAATGTTACATCGCCATTGTTCAGTTGTGCTTCACTTTAACCTTTGACGGTGGCGCACTGGGATTAGTTCCTTTGTAGAACTCCTTCAGCAAACCCATAGCCTCCTCGCCCTTGTACCCCCCTTTCATGATCGTCACTGGTCGCAGCACCGCGGCTACGTCAAGTACCGTTGAGCCACCAAACCTATCATTTTGACAGCCGTAAACGATGTTTTTCACTTTCAAGACATAGAGAGCCGCGGCACACATGATGCACGGTTCGACAGTCACATATACTGATAGCTCTTTGAACACTTCATTTTGATCCAAGGTGTTTGTTTGACAATAATCAACTACTTGGTCGATGCAGTTCAGCTCAGCGTGACGTGTTGCGTTTTTGGTTTCATTGACAGTGTTGCGACCTAGGGCAAAGATATATAGAAGCTACATTAAATTAATATAAGCATTTGGCGGATATCGGACAAATATTTGTACTTGACACGTGCCATATAAGAAAAAACATATCAACGTAAATAATACACATTTAGTCGATTTGTGGTTAGAGATACTCAGAATTTCACACTGACAATTTTCTTTTGATGTGACAAATAATGACAGCAAAATATTTGGACCGTAGCCAAAAAAATGGTTATCCTTCACATGGGCAGGAAAAAAACAGGAAAAGAGGACTAATTTGTTTTTTTTGAAACGAAGGGCTAAATTTCAGATATTGATAAAATGGCTGATGTTCAGCGTGAATTCTATACCTCTATATACTCACAATAACCCTGTAAAATTTAAATTTTGTCTACCCAGATGTTTCGATCAGAATTTGAACCATCTTTGCGAGTCCTGTCCACATGCTTCTTACAAAAAACGTCAGAGTTTTAGAAAAAAGATTTTTCATAAATTTGAACGTTTTTGTAAGGAAAGTGTATAGAAGGCTGTTATCTATTTTAAGGTTTTTTTAAGCAACTTGATCGCTCAAAAAAAAACGTCTGGGTGGATTGAAGTGAAATTTCACAGGGTTATTTTGTGGGTATATGGAGCTGTACAACTCGCGCTCAAAATTAGTCGGTTTGTTAATATTTGAAATTTAGCCCTTGGTTTTTCAAGAAAAAAACCTAAACCTAAGTTATCCATCTTTTATGTTTTTCCCGCCCATATGAAGACTGAAGTAAAATTGCTTTTCCGTAAACGGTCATTGATCCTCTTAGAAAATCCACTCCAGCTTTTGGAATCCATTAGATTTTCTGTACGATGATTGGTTCCTAAGGTGATGATCAAAGCCAAAAAAGTGTGGTATTTTATTAAAAATTTGATATCTTAGAAAGAAATGGCTGAGTTTTTGAAAAAAGTACATTGAAGCTGAATAAACAAGCTATTGAGTACATGCAATTGTTTAAGGGAAAAACATTCTTCCAAGTCCGTGAAGATGGATAATAGAATAAAAATGCATTTTTTTCTTCACACTATTCCCACGATTGCGTGGTAACTGTAGCTTTAAAAATGTTTTGACTAAAAGATGCAAAAACTACACTCTTCAAAGAATTCCTACAAATGGATAATTTTTATTTGATTTAATTGATTTTTTATACTAATAAAAAAAACACAAATAGTGAAAACCACTGTCAACATCTTATCCTATTTTGACTCCGAATATGTGACAAAAGAGGTCAATATAAGTGTCATATAGCTTTTATCATCTCCATAAAATACTGAGGGTCATAATTAGTCCTATGATAAGTAATCGAAAACGATCCTTGACAGTAGTTTGGCACATTATATAATAATACTGCATACTAATTCGAACAAGAAAGATTGCGTGGTCTTGTTCTACCAGATGTAATCTGGCGGTGTAGTGTAAGTCCTTATGTGGAAATCTAAGTTTGTACAGTACACATTTCACAAATTGGTTCTGAATATGCTCCAGTTTTTCAACCTACCCAAGATATGTGATTACAGAAAATCGTATTTTATATTTTACTAATTATTTGACAAAATTGCCATACTTGTTTTCCATCGCTTCAAGCCCACTCCACATGGTTAATCTGAGGCTTTGAATTTTAATAACTATCCAAAGGTTTTGTGTCATGATCCAAATTTTAGAAACCACCACTTTGTTGGGTACCCAGATCTGCTTGTGAGGATTCTAATATGGCCAGATTTTACTGTTGACCCGCGGAAATAAAAATTTGTATCTTTGGCACCTATTAGACCAATGAGGTGTCTTTTGAGTGAAGGACCTAATGAATTTGACCGATTTCTTGTAAAATGTCTCTCAAACTAGAAATATTATATGATCTGTGTAAGATGGGCACCTAATTCTTATATTAAATCAAGAAATACGTCATATATTACATTACTCAGCTACACATTCAAAGAGTTTATTAAACAGAATTGCAACACTGTTATTTTCAATAAAATGCCCAGTAATGGTGCTGTGTCAATCTACGAGCCCCTTCCCACTTCAGTTGGACCACTTCAAGATCTGTACCAAAATATGCCTTCATAAACTAAACATGACGAAACTATTTACTTCTAAAACAATTTATTTTCTCAAAAACATTTTAGATACACTCTAGTCGTATAAAATACATACTTGAAATCACTTAGGCCTATAACTAATAGAACATCTGAACAAATAATTAATGTGCGAATAAATACGCGAAGTTAACAAAGCAACAATTGAAATATTACCATTGGGTAACATCACCTTTATTTTTTATTACGGCTGAAATTCTTTGGGGCATAGTGTTAAGCAAGTTTTGGCAAAAAATTGGTGCCAAACAATCCCATATTTCTTGAAGCTTTTGTCTCAGTTCGGTGATTGTACGAGCAGGATATTGTCGTAGAAACTTTTAAATCTCGTGCCACAAAGTTTCAATAGGTGACAGATCTGGACTGCTAGAAACCCATTTCAAAAGTGGTATATTATTTTCTTCCATCCATTTTATAGCCTTTTTTGAGGTATGGCACGCTGCACCATCTTGCTGAAACACAAAATCTCGGCCGGATGTCAAACATTCTTCCATCACTGGTAAAAGCGATTCTTCTAAAATTTCCAAATATTTGTTTGTATCCATATTTCCATCAATAAAATGAAGTTTTCCTACTGCTTTTGATGACATGCTGCCCCAGATCATAATGGATGCTGGAAATTTCACTTTTCTCTTCAGACAGTCAACATGGAATGCTTAATTTTTTTTGCGAATAACTACTGCGACTGTCACCAACACAAACTTCGAATCGGGCCTCATCACTATTGTATTGCACACCATTGTTGAGGTGTCCATTGTCTATGTTCTTTAGCCCATCTAAGCCGATTTTTCTTTTGCAGTGGAGTTAATAGTGGCTTTTCTTTGGCCTATAAACAAGTTGTGCAACTTTATGGTTTTTACTTCACTTTTTTTTTATAAGAAAACTTACCTTGCAAGTGCTAAATCCCAGTTTGTGGGCCTCTCTATGAGTTGTGGACTTCGAAATTCTCCTTCCAACAGCGCCACACCACAGAGCACTTCTTGTTTTTCACGATTATTCTTCTTAATGCTCTTCGGTCGGCATTTGTGATATTATTTTTTTCACATATTGTGGCTTAATATTAACTGAACCAGTTACGTTATATCTTCTAACAATATTTCTCACACTGTTCCGCGATAAGTCTAACAAAGTTGCAATTTCTGAGTTTGATTTCCCAGAATTAAAAAATTTAATTATCAGTAACCGAATTTTCTCACTAATAACCTTTCCTCTACCCATTTTGAAAACCTACCCAAAACAATTTTAAACGTATTTTGACAGCTGTGATTAATAAAAACAATTGTCATGGCTTTTATTTTTCACAGCCACCTATGCGTTAAGACTTATTTTGCTTTGAAATGAAAATAGGTTGATATGCTGTAATTGCAACATGTGTTATTTTTATGCTGCAAATTTGATTAGGGAGTGATAAAGTTGCTGTTTTCTACTATATATTATTGATTGTTAATATTTTAAACCTATAACACCCTGCTACATTTTTATTATTTGTGTTTGATAATAAAAAAACTAAGATTTCAATAGTTGGGCCAAGTGAAGTGGGAAGGGGCTCATATTATATCAGGTTTGGCCATATTTCGAGTCGGTCACAAATCATTTTTTTTTTGATTTTTTGGATTTGCGTCAACTTTTGTGTCAGGACGCAAATGAAAAAATAAGTGTTTATAGCTAAACCAAATGATTTAAGACGTATTTCTTGATTTAATATGGGAATTAGGGCCCCATCTTATACAAATCGCATAATTTTTCTCTAGTTTGTGAGACATTTTACAAGAAATCAAACATATTTAATAGATCCATTACTTCAAAGCCTCCTTCTCATTGGTTAAATTTGTCATCCACGCACTTTTTTGCGCCCCAGCTTAGTAGAATCGGGCCTTAATGTTTTTTGTGTGCCGAATAATGTTTAACCTCTTAACGGCTCATGTTCCTAAACTGGAACACTGATTTCAAAAATTCAAAATGAAAAAATCTTAGTCAAAATCATTCAACTTTCACCAATAGTCCACTGTTCCTTATGTGTACCAATGAATATTGTGTAATAAAGGTGACGTCTTACGCCATCTATGAACCCGACGCCGAGATATTGGCAGAATGTCATCATTTGTTGTTGTTGGTTAGGTGCATCGTTTTCTGAAAAGCTTTTCTTGTGTTTTTTGATTATTTTATAGCGTAATTTAAATACAGGTGAGTCAGTAGATTATTGTAGTATAGTTTTAAAATAAATTGAATACAAAAACTCTTATTAGAAGAGCCGATAACGTAAATATTTTCATAGTTCCAGATAAGGAACGATGGACATTTAGTATATGAATATGGAACTCTGGGCAAGTTAGTTCTTCACGGTGCTTTATTATTTTGTTTCAGTAAACTATGGCATCTTTACCAAGCGATAGTGAAGATGAGAATCTGAGCGATTCTGACGATGAATATGTGCCGTCCAAGCCAGGCTCAGATAACTCTACAAGTAGTGACAGTGAAGACGATTCAGAAGATGACCAACCACTGATCAATTTTTTTGCAATGGAATAAAATTAGGGAAGGCAACGTGAGTGTTTCTTTGGCGCCATTTACTTCACAAAACCTAGACGACGAGCCTGAAATAGGAAGACCCATACATTATTTCCAGTTATTTTCTCAGATGAGCTAGTAGATCAAATTGTAGAACAAAGTAATTTATACGCTTGCCAAGTTGACCCGAATAGACCGCTCAACCTTGCTCGATCTGGATTAGAAGTCTTCTTAGGAATATGTCGATTTTTGGTTTACCCAGACATAGACTTTATTGGAGTTCTGCCACCAGAGTTTCACAGGCGGCCGACTCCATGTCCAGAAAGCGGTGGGAACAAATAAAGAAAAACCTTCATTTCAATAATAATGAGAACCTACCAAAAGATCGAAATGATGTCAATAGAGACAAGCTGTTCAAACTTAGACCCTTCCTGGATAATTTACAGCAAAAATTGGCAAAATCAAGTAAAACCTGAAAAACTCTGCGTGGATGAACAAATAGTTCCATTCAAAGGACGCTCTTCCCTAAAGCAATATAATCCCAAAAAATCCAATAAATAGAGGTATAAAATGTTTATTGCATGCGACAAAGATGGCCTTATCCACAATTTTGAGGTTTACACCGGAAAAATACTACCAGTATCTGGGAAAGACGACATAGGGGCAAGTGGAAACATAGTCCTACGACTAGCAGCAGTTATTCCCAAGCACAAATATCATTTTTTGTTTTTTGATAATTGGTTTACTTCTCTGAAACTTCTAACTACACTATACAAAGATGGAATCTACAGTTTGGGAGCTGTAAGAAAAGATATAATTCATGGCCTTACGTTTTCAAGCGATAATATTATGAAAAAAAAAGGCCGAGGCACTTACGAGGAGGATGAAGCTACCATAGAAGATGTAAAAATATTTGCGCTGAAATGGTTTGATAATAAAAGTGTCTGTCTGGCGAGCTCTTTTTACAGATCACATCCTATTGACACAGTGGAACGTTTTGTCAGAAAAGAAAAAACAAAAATAAATATCCAACGTCCAAATATGGTAAAAGAATATAATCTTTTTATGGGTGGAGTAGATTTGCTAGATGGGCTTATATCCTATTATAGGATAACACTAAGAAGTAGAAAATGGTACTTGAACATATTTTTTCACTTCATTGACTTGGTTATAGTTACTGCCTGGATTCGCTACAAAGCTGATAAGCAGATAGCAGGGTTGGAGAAAAAAGATATATTAGATTCCCTTGGTTTTCGCGCTGAAGTTGCCTTTTGGGGAAGAGTGAAAATATACGAAAACGAGGAAGACCAAGTAGAAGTATTGAAAGAAATTTTGAAGAAAAAAGGAAAAGGAGCCAACAAAGCCCATACCGCAGTTTGACGTGCGAACTGACCAAATAGGTCACTTCCCTTGTGAAAAAGAACAAAGTCAGAGATGCAAAAAGCCAGGTTGCGGACTGAAAACATTTTTTCCTGCATCAAATGTAATGTATACTTATGTATAAATAAGAAAAGGAACTGTTTTGGTGAATTTCATATTTAAGATGATTGACCTTTGTTCCAAAACCGGAACGTTGACTTACTTTTTTTGCTAAAGAAAAAATAAAGTATTTTTCCAATAAAATGTGTTTTTTATACCTATTATAATATCTTTTTTGAAGAAAATCTTTTTTTCTCAAGCGTTATTTAAATGTGGACCTTAAGAGGTTAAAAGGAAGGAATCGCATGATTGAATTTTCATGAGAAAAATATGGGTTTTAGGATGGTATACCTTACCTAAGGCAATAATTTCTTTATTGTACACAAATATACAACCCACTGGAACTTCTTGAGCAGCTAAAGCTTCAGTTGCAAAAAAGAATGCCTTATCCATAAAAAGTTTCTCTTCATCCGTAAAGCCACAATCACTCTCCATTTGAAGGCACAAAATACTGTTTCAAATCGTTTGTGACCAGAAATTGCTCTGCTTTTTCAGGCCAGTTGGTATTATTCAGTGCTCTTGGACTGGGATGAGGTAAGCACAGTACATTTATGTCAGTAATATTGTGAGTCTTGAATAAATCTTTGATTTTTTTGTCAATGTATGAACCAATAGCAATGATGATTTCTGGTTCAAGCAGGTCAAGAAGTCTTACAAAGCAGCCACCACATATGTTTTCCAGTTCTCTTCGTAACTGTAAGACAAAGATTGTGACAATGCAAAGAATATGAAATAATTTTAACTTGTAATGTCATAAAATATGTGGGGGTGGTTCCAGATAATCAAGATGCAAATGAAACTTAAGCTTTTGATGCTTAATACTTTCACAAACATTGATAAAATGAAAGGCTAAACAGATAAGAAACAGCTTTCCCTGTATCAACAATCGGAATATTCAGAGAGCCTTATTTTTTCATACATTCATATGATTTTAATAGTTATTAAATGTTGTCAAATGAATACAATTTTTTGTAGAATAAATAGCTGAAATTTTGTTGATTTGTGCATGCAGTATTTAGCTTTATAATATACCAACTGATAGATGCAAATTTTATTTTTCAGTGGTAACTGGTTATCAAATAATAGTCCAGCTCTAAAATTGTATGTGAATATTATACTTTTATGAAAGAATTAGGCAGCAGATTACTTTTTTCTTCTCAATTTCTCTCTTCAAAATATCTTTGTTTTTATTGAAAACACAATTTACTGCAAAGTGGAATTTTGACATTCAATTTCAGATCTGTACTAATATTCAAGATACAATTGAAGAAAAAAAGCATTTTTTTACATAACATTGTTATTTAGTCACCTCTATACACACTATGAAATAATCACATGTAAAGGATTTAGAATACTTCTCCAAACATGGAACCTCAAACTACTTATTTATGAGCAGGAGAAAATATAATTTTGTTTGAAAGCTCATTGACCACACTAACAAAGAAACTAGTTTTAGTTTTCCCCAAAATCCTTCAATGTCCACCATCACTTCATAGAGTTTCATCTGATTCACACAAGTAAATTATGAGAAACTAAAATCTATAAATTGAAACAAATTGACACCCTGTAAGACAGTAAGGATGCCATAAAATGCATAAACCTACAGGATCTTTTTTGTTCAGTTTAATGCGGGTCTACTAGCTGATATATTATAAAGCTGATTAGTTGTATACCTGGAAAATAAAATAAAAAAAATTAAAACAAAAATCAATAAGGGGACAAAATTAATAAGCGAACTATATATTATTTGGTGTTTTAACCTTATTCCACTAAATATTTCAAAAATTTATTTGGGAGAGCTGGATTCAGAGGTCTTTTGTTTTTATATCTAACAGGACACTACTACTATTCTTTTTTTGTGCTACTGTCATTGTAAAGTACAATTTCTTGCACTCACATGATTTAGAACCAAAAGCAAATTTTTATGACTGCTTTTTGAATTATTTTATATAAGCACCATCTAGACTGTTGTTTTTCTCCTTAAGAAATTATATTGCTCCTGTTTAATATTATAACTGATCTTTATTTACTATTGATAGCCTTGAAAAACCATCCTAGGCAAAAGAAACTATTACCAATGTAAAATGTAAGACATAGTACACAGTAGTAAATGTTTACATTATTTTTGGTTACTGATTATGAGCTACAGATATTTATTCTATTGTATAATAGAAGTACCTGGGCATCCTTAATTTCATTTGGAGTTACATTACAGCCGTCTTTCTTCATGAAAGCCAATGGACAAAAGTTATATACAAAGGAATTTTTAAAAAACTCTTCAGGTTCATTAGAAATGCTAGCAAAATAGCCCCAAAATCTGTCACCACTCTGCTCTTTCCTAGAAGACTCTAAACCAAGTATTTTTCGTTCTGGACATTCCGTATCAGGTTTGAAGACCTCCCCTTCAATCCTAAGCCACTCTTTAACCCATTTTGGGTCTCCAAATGGAACACCTGTTTGACACATTCCATAAGGTCCAGGATTCATGCCAACAAAAAGAATTTTCTTTTTACTTGTGCAGAACTTTCTCACATAGTTTTCATGAGGACGTAGTGCATATTCCAATGGATTATAGACAAATGATATTGGAGGTGTTAGGAAATTTAATGTACGAAGCACCTTGTTTAGTTCATTCTGTAACCTTATTATCTCATCTTCTATTTTCACTGGTGCAGATTTGTCTAGGTTTGGAAAGTATTTCGATATATCTGCTACTTCACAGTTTTTGACAGATAAATCTAAAGTTTGATCATCAGTTTTCCTCCTTTTGTTTTCTTCTTTGATGCTGTTTGTAGAAGGATTCCCAAATAACTTCTTCCTCAGCATTATTGCTGTTTCTATGCATGAAGAACAAACACCAAATCTTAATTATGAGGCCTCAAGGACCCACAACCCCACAACTTCAGAGTTTGAAGAAGATTGAAGAAAAAATTACCACAACAAATAATCCAACATCCTGCAAGAACCAGAACAAACCGAGCACACCACAAAACATATATTTACTGCGAGCGTGCGAGCACCGAGCACAAAAAAAGGATACAGAGGTGACAGAAGAGAAAAGGAAAAGCCACAAAAGCTTGCCATTGAATAGCATGGAAGCATGGAATTAAACCTTCTTGAGTGTATATGTTTTGTGAGTGAGCACAAACATAACCTTCAATTTCTATTTTGTTGTTATATTTTGTAATTAGTTTCAATACGTTTTTGCTGATCAGCAAACCAATATGCCTGAAATAAAAATAACTCCATTGGGTGCAGGCCAAGAAGTAGGCCGTAGTTGTCTTTTATTAACCATGGGTGGTAAAAACATTATGCTCGATTGTGGTATGCATATGGGCTACAACGACGACCGCAGGTTCCCAGATTTCAGTTATATATCCGACGGTCCTATATCTGCATTTATCGACTGTGTAATCATATCCCATTTTCACCTAGATCACTGTGGGGCCTTGCCATACATGTCCGAGATGGTGGGTTACAATGGACCTATCTACATGACACACCCTACAAAAGCCATAGCACCCATTTTGTTGGAAGACATGAGAAAAGTATCAGTTGAGAAAAAAGGAGAAATGAACTTTTTCACTTCCCAAATGATTAAGGACTGTATGAAAAAAGTTATTGCTGTTACTTTGCATCAGTCAGTTATGGTTGACAATGATATAGAAATAAAAGCCTATTATGCAGGTCATGTGCTTGGTGCTGCAATGTTTTGGATTAGAGTTGGGTCACAGTCAGTTGTTTATACTGGAGATTATAATATGACTCCAGATAGGCACTTAGGTGCTGCTTGGATTGATAAATGTAGACCAGACCTGCTCATATCAGAATCCACTTATGCTACTACAATTAGGGATTCAAAAAGGTGCAGAGAAAAAGATTTTTTGAAGAAAGTACATGAATGTGTTGACAAAGGTGGCAAGGTTTTAATTCCTGTATTTGCATTAGGAAGAGCACAAGAACTTTGTATTTTATTAGAAACATATTGGGAACGTATGAATTTGAAAGCACCAATATATTTTGCTCTTGGTCTAACAGAAAAAGCAAACAACTATTACAAAATGTTTATTACTTGGACTAATCAGAAAATCAGGAAAACTTTTGTTCAAAGGAATATGTTTGATTTTAAGCATATAAAGGCATTTGATAGACAGTATATTGACAACCCAGGCCCTATGGTGGTTTTTGCAACTCCTGGAATGTTGCATGCAGGATTGAGTTTACAAATCTTCAAAAAGTGGGCGCCAAATGAAAATAATATGATCATTATGCCAGGATTTTGTGTACAAGGTACAGTAGGGCACAAAATATTAAATGGAGCAAAAACTGTGGAATTTGAAAATAGACAAATAGTTGAGGTGAAGATGTCTGTGGAATATATGAGTTTCTCAGCTCATGCAGATGCTAAAGGTATTATGCAACTTATTCAACATTGTGAACCACGCAATGTCATGCTGGTTCATGGAGAAGCAGCAAAAATTGATTTCTTAAAAGAAAAAATCCAACAGGAATTCAACCTACAGTGTTTCAGTCCTGCAAATGGAGAAACTTCAGTCATCACTACTCCAGTTAAGATTCCAGTAGATGTGTCATTACCTTTGTTGAAAGCAGAAGCAAAAAAATTCAGTGGGCTTACACCAGACCCAAAACGTAGGCGAACCTTACATGGAGTATTGCTAATGAAAGAAAATAGCATGTGTTTAATGGATGTAGATGAGGCTTGCAAAGAGGCTGGCATTAACAGGCATGTTGTCAGGTTTACTTCTACACTGAATATAAATGATCCAGGACCCTCTCTTACAACAGCTCATAAAATACATGGATACATCAGAGAAAAATTACCATTATGCTCTGTGATATTTTCTGAAGGAGAAATTTCTATTGAATCAGTGCTTGTCAAAGTAGAGGGTGATGATGATGACCAGAAAAGTGTTTACGTTTCATGGACAAATCAAGATGAAGAACTTGGCAGTCAAATATTAAATCTTATCAATCATATGGGTAAAGTTTAAAGCTCTGTTACAATTTTTTATTAAAGTATTTTTACATTAACGTTGTTCTTTTTTGAAAAAATGCTAAAATACCATTTTTGCTTCTGATATATTAAATTCACATTACACAATTTTCGAAAAATCAGTTGAGCTTCAAGTTTTGAATGCTATGTTTATATGTAGCATGGTAATCAAACAATTGTTTTTAAATCATATTTCCTCAATTATGAAGAGCAGTCTAAGCAGTAAGTGACAGCACTAGTAGGATGAGATTTAATGTTGATTAACATCATTACTTTATCATCCTGATGACATTTGCAGAGCGACGAATCTTGTTCATGAAGTAAGAAATGCTGCCCATGAATACCGCAATGAGCAATGGAATGACTTTCTGGCGGGAATGCTTGACTCAAGTACTCCTCTATGTAAAGTGGCGAAGTCGCTCAGAAACGGAAAGCGAGAACAACTCCCGCACATCCACGCTCCTGGGGGCATAGTCTTCAGGACAGAGGACAAGGTCGAGGTTTTCGCTGATGCTATGGAACGATAGTTCTCTCCCAACTATGATCTTGATAATGATCTCGACGAGGAGCAACAAATTGTAAGATCCGTCAGGAGATATTTTAGGGCCAATGGCGTCAGTGATCCCGGCGCCGCCATTAGTGATTCTTCCTGAGAATATACTTTTTCGGAAGCTGAAGAGTTACACAGCACATCAGCGGCTTCTCCCGAGATCCCGCATTGCACACCAGCAGAGCTTCAAGGTCATATTAAAGTCCTCAAGGTGCGTAAAGCGCCTGGGGAGGATCAAATCACTAATAAAGCGCTGAAGCTGCTGTCACGGAAGTCCTTGACTTATCTCGTGTCTATTATCAATGCCATGCTAAGGACCCAGTACTTTCCATCGGCGTGGAAGACTGCGGAAGTTATAATGATTCCAAAGAAGGTGGGTTCGATATTTCCTCAGGACTATCGTCCCATCAGGCTACTGTCTGCTCCGTCTAAGCTCGCTGAAAAGGTGATTCTACGTCACCTTGCGAATTTCTCATCAGATCACCATGTGATTCCCGACGTGCAATTTGGATTTCGGTCTGAGCATAGTACGGAGTACAGGCGGTTAAGCATGTGGAGCGAGGTACCAGGGGCTTCACCCTTAACGAAAGTACTGGCATCTTGCTTCTGAATGTCTCGAAGGCATTTGACAAGGTGTGGCACAAGGGCCTTCTCTATAAACTAATTCAAAAGGAATTCAAGAACCAAAATAATTCTGGCAGATGCAAGGAAGCTATGTGCAGTTGCTGAACCGTTAAATTCAGGCAACTTTGGTTCATAAATAGTGATGCATTATTTTAACACAACAAAAGGTGTCCTCTACTGCACGTTATACATTGGGATCTGTGGCATCACAGTCTGTTTCCCTTATGCCTGTGAAATGAAAAAGTTTAACAGAGAATTCAACTACTGCAGTCCTCGGTCTTGCTAAGACTGCACTCACGTGTTTGCTTTTCATTCTTTCATCTCGAAATCTGGACCTGATACAGACCTATATCGTACTGATGCGGGCTAAGGAGCCCTGTCTGCGGTTGGTCGTGGATCCATTAGTTTTAAATAAAAGGTAAATTCGGAAAATTGGAACAAAGACGATTGTGGAGAAAAGTTGAAAATAAATAAGTGCCTCGTGAATTGAAATATGAGTGTGACTATGCTGATGAAACAATACGCTTCAGGAACTACCTTTGTTGTACACAAGCTTGCTTCCAGTAGATGCTAGAAAATTAAATGATTTATTAGACTTATGTAAATCAAAAGCAGTCTTTCTAGCGTTAATGCTTTTCATTTCTCTCAAAGCCAAGGAAGATAAAAAAATTCAAAGAGGACATAATATAACAGTGCTCAAAAAACAGAAGTTGAGAACGATGATAGTGGAGATTAGTGCTGTTAGCGGAGACGGAGCAACTGTAGGAGTAACCGGAGATCGCGGAGCTGGCACCGAACGGTGATATCCGGTACTACTGTAGGAGGTGGGGAGAATCCGGGGGGATACGGAGGTAGGGAGTTAGGGTGATCTCCGGAGGGGAACGAGGCGACTGGTGATACGGAGTCTAGTGCTGTTAACGGAGAGAAGTTATGGGTGTGTGTGTATGTGTCGCGAATCTGCCATTTGGCCAATTTGAAACTTTTAAATGGCTCCTAGAAAATCGTCCCAAGCGTGGCTCCATTTTGAGCGAATAGATGATAAGCCGGACTCGGCAAAGTGTAAAATTTGCGGAAATGTTTACAAAAGGGGTGGCGGCACAAAGAACTTGTTAGATCATCTGCAAAGATTTCATCGCGTGGTGCTGGAAAATGGAGCCATCGCAACACGTGCTGATGGGGTCGCAGGTTTTTATGAGGAGAACAGTCCAAAACGGAAGGCCCTCGACCGTCATTTCGTGTTGTGGAAGATGACGGATTCGTTCAATTTGTGAAGGCCCTTGACCCACGGTACAAATTACCATGTAGACAAACGATATCTAATGTAAGTATACAGTGTTGTGTGCAGGTTGTCCTAAGTTTACCTGGCAACGTATAAGTTGAAGTCCAAGCGCTCTGCCGCCAATAAAAGTTGCTTAGGGGTAGTGCAGCAAGTAGACACGTGCTGTAACAGTAAGCTTGCGATGATACGTCGTCTCATTGAACTCCGCGAGGAGCTAATTTTATGCATGTCTGAATTGCCAAACGCGCCGCAAGATTTAAACGGTAAGTTGTATATAATTTTTTCCTTTAAATAAAAGATGGAATACTTGTTCATCTTGCTTGGTCAAACTACGATTACCTCTTTATTGTTATTATAGGAGATGACTGGCAGATTTTAGTCCAGCTGGATTCAATATTACGTCCATTTGAAGAGATGACGAGGACGTTGTCTGGTGAGAATTATGTCACGGCTTCTCTCATTATTCCTCTTACCAAGGGGTTGATCCGAATGCTGGACGATATCGACCGGTCTGCTCTCAAATATGAGGTTCAGGAGTTTTTTGACAATATTAAGCAATCGGCGATTGATAGATTGCTGCAATATGAGCAACGCAGCGTTGCAAAAGGTGCAACTCTCATGAACCCCCACTTTAAAAAGAAAGGGTTTGTATCTGCAAATCGGGCAGAGGATGCACGAATTCAAATAGAGGCCTAAGTCAAGACAGAGGTTCAGAGGATGCCACCACCGACACAACAAGGAGGAAACCTTACCCCGGCTCCATATGTCGGCCTTCTTTCTTACCTAAATGATCAAGGCGAGAGACATTCAACGGCCAGCACTTGCACTGTGGACGCAACTATTCTCGTTAGACAATATGTCGAAGTGCAGCCAATCAACAATCAAAGAGACCCGATAAAGTATTGGTCTAACGTTGACGTTCAGTGTAAACCCCTTGCTCAGGGGCATCATATTATATGTGTGTGCCAGCCACTTCAGTTCCATCAGAACGTCTCTTTTCAAAGGCCGGTTACGTTATTACCGAGCGACGAAATTCGCTATCGCCGGCAAAGGCAAAAATGCTAGTTTTTTACATGGTAACAGAGCATTTGTTTAAAATGAATATTTTCTCCCTGTTACAGTAACACCTCCATATCTGTTTGTACGGTGCTATAGTGATGTTTACTTTGTATTTTGGGGGATATTGTGATATTTTTTCCTTTTTCTTTGATATTTTGATATCTATTCTTTTGTATTTTTTGGGATACATTGATATTTATCCCCTTATATTTTTTGGGGTATAGAGACTTTCATCCTTTTATATTTTTTAGATATCGTGATAGTCATTCCTTTAAATTATTTCGGATATGGGGTTTTACTTCATCTATAATTCATAGTTCCTATTACCTATAATGTTTGTCATATATTAAAATCTTTTTCTCCATTTTTCATAACAATCGATCAACATTTCAGCTTTATTTGATTCGTCAAATATGTGTCGTGACGTTTCACTTTACAGATGAAATAAATCATACTATTCTTCTTATTTGGGCACATTGAACCTCATTCCTTTCTCACAACCTTTTTCCAGAAATGAAAAAAAAGTTCCTTTTGAAAGTTTTGCTTTGCAGAAAATCAGCCTAAGTCAAAGAACGATAAGTGCACGCACGCCTTCAATACATTAAAAAAATATAAAATATATATTTTTTGTAAGGTGGTACAAATGCACTGTTACGCTACAATCGATGTTTGTAATCCAATTAAAAATAAACTGCGAAAGGGCAAAAACCATTACGTGTAACATATTTTTATCTTATACAAAAAATTCGCAAGGGCTGGTTCGAACCCTCAACCCAAGGGGGAATCATACGATATGCCCTTGCCTTTGCCCACTACGCTACAGCAACTACATCTCATTCGCCGCTCCGTTTCAAAATCAAATCAGTATTCTGTACAGACCAATGAATCCGGTTGTTCTCCGGAGATCTCCGCGAAAAAGCGCGCGTAAACATCCTCCGGAGAAAACCGCTCCGTTAACAGCACTAGTGGAGATCACAAAGATGAATATGATTTGAGTGACTCACATTGGCATTAACGAGGTTTTTTCGACCCAGTGGCGCTGCCAGGATTTCAGTCTGGGAGGGGTAAAATGGAAAGTAAATTCTCAGTGTGACGTACCTACTGAAGTGTTATAATGATTTAACATTAAAAGCATGAACATATGCAGACATGAATTTGTTACAGTAATTTCTCTAGAAAATACATACAATTCCTTTTAATTTTGAGTCATACGAAATCAAAATGTAAATAAAGCAAACCAAGCTCGAGCAATCTTATATTAAAACAAAAATGCAAAATAATATAATCTATCACAGACTTTTCTCATAACATTGTTAGACAAAACACCAAAAAATACATCTTCATGAACAAAATAACAATAACAAATATGTTACGACTTCTATAAAGTATAAAACTGAATGTAAATCAAAATGAAATTCTTAATCATGAGAAAAAACAAAAACATATAAACTATGAAACTACATCAGTTCACAGTCTCAAAATAAAACAATCATTACATTAGCTTAGAAAGTGATTTGAACAGAATTTGAACAGACTTTCATATCAATCTGCTGGCCAATAAATAAAACCACATATCTTGATTGGATACTTTGGAAAAGATCACCATGGTGGTTTAAACGTAAAGTAAATCCTTAAATACATTTGCTTTTTTATTTATTGGCCAACAGAAGGGAGATGGATTTGAGAGACAACCTTAGGCAAAGTTCAGGTGTTATCACATTACAAAATCAAGGCGCCTATTATGTTTGCTGGTGAACCGATCTATGATTGATTTACGTCTATTTTAATATCCCTATGCATATACAAAAGAGCTAAAACCCACTAATCGCTCTTGTAACAGTGGAGCGCAGCCAAGTTTTTATCCTCTTTAGATGGGAGAAACTTCTTTCAGATGTCGCAACACTTACTGGCAATGAAATCAATAATTGTAGGCAGCTATTAATTGAAGGAAAAAATGCATCACATGATAAATAAAGTGACCTTCCACTGCCTATAATAGCTTGTGTACGTGACTTCCAAAGGTCTTTGATTTCATTGGTTCTACCGGCGGAGAACAATCATCCATTATTTCCATCTCTGTCTGTGCTGTTGACCACCGCAAAGCCACAGAAACGACATATGTCGTACGCTATACAGCTGTACTGGAAGGAAGCCGGGATCGAGCTCTGATCATGTGTTGATCACGCGTATGAGTCATTACAGTTTTAAATAGTTGTAGTATAGACTAGACCATGAAAGACTAGACTATACCTGTTCCAACAGGACACCGTTGCTGTTGGTGGGAAAGTAGTCGCTGGTCGCATGCGCACTGAGCGGGTTGGCAGTGCTGCCGCTATCCTTTCTTAAAGTTAAATATTCTTTTATAAGACGTTTACTTTATACCACCTTTTCAAAGACTGCTCGAGTCGTCTTGGTGAGGGGGTGATTACCCCCTTTACCACCCCCATGGGAGCGCCAGTGTTTAGACCATTAGTTTGAAAAACATTGTAATATTTCGATAAATGTCCTACTAAGTCTAGAGCAAGTGTACTTTTTCTTTAATCGATCCAACGAAAACTACAGTAAGTCAACAAAATTTATTAAAAAAATGTCATTTTCGCTAGATTTGTATTGTAATACCATTTATAACCTTCTATATACAAGAATTACTGCAATGTGCAACATATTTTTGATTGGATCGTCATTTTTCTTCAAACGAAATTCATCAGAAAATCTTCTAATGCCTGTATCTCAGTTCAACCAAAACCGAGTTGTTACAATAGTCTTCCTTACAGGGGTCGATGTGTATAGTGTCATAGTGTAAAAAATGATATGAAGGTTATGATAAAAGACTAGATGTTAGCGCTTGGCGATAAGTTCTATACATTTGTGGCCATTTTCGTTTTGTGATGGCCCGTGACGTTTATTGTCGTTGGATGTTTTGAGGTCGTTCCTCCTCGTTCCCTGACGTTTATTGTCGTTGGATGTTTTGAGTTCGTTCCTCCTCGTTCTAATGTTCTGTGCGCCTGTTGGCCGTTGTTGTTGGGCAAAGCAACAAGTTAGTGCAGAACAAGTACTATTTTTTAGAAGAATATTGCCACATCAAACATCAGGTGAGATATCATAATTATCATGCTTTAAATATTCTACAGTGTACACAAGATTCAAATTTCTTTTAAGTCAGTATTTGGCATTTTCGTATTTGTCATTATGGGCATTAGCCATGGGATTCCCATACCTACCTCTTTTATGCAGAAAGTGCATAGGTGATGGTTATATGGGTGGTAGATTGATACCTGGACGATATATTATGCAGATTATTGCACGTTCGTGGATGAAAATCAAGTAAATGATAAAAAAATGATCCTGTTACGATGTTAGTCCAGTTTTTATATTCGACTCAGTGTTGCCGACCCGAACAACACGAAATTGGTAGATAGTTTCAATGCAATTCATTAGATTCAAGTGCAAAATCGGTAGAAAGAAAAATCAGGGTCGCCGCAAGATCAGAGGCTGATCAAGTGTCTTAGGGTCACGCAGCGCGCCTATGAAAAGGAGTAATTTTTGTGTTACGCGCGGACACACAACACAGGTACACAGGAATTCTATAAAAATAAAAAAAATTGGTAAAGGGCATTTTCTTATTGCATATAGAGCACAGGCTTGCACAGGTTTCTTATAAATATAAAAGCAAATTAACCTTGAAAAAACCAATAGTTAATTTTGTATATTTCTTACATTGAATAGGTGTATAACGGTCATTGACTATTGTCCATGTATAACAGGCACAAACTAAAAATAATAATTTAATATAAAGATGTCGTACAAAATTCGTTGCAATATTTTTATTTTACTACCAGGATAAAATCGATTAAAAGGACTAACTAACCACTTCCCCAGCTAAAAAGTGAACTTCAGAACTTTTTTCCTAATTTAAAAAAATAGAAATGGACTAAGTCTAAAAATAATTTTCATGAAAAATGGACCAGATTTGATTTTCCATCAAATCCTTCTATTGAAGTAACAAAACATTTCGATCATATTTGGGGTTATACCAACATTAATTGGAAATAATAGAAATTAAGTTGACATTAATATTGAAATTATAACAGACTACTTATTGTTTCTGAACATAATCTATTTCTTAGTATTGTTTTCATTATGTTAATGCAGATAATATCCGCTTAAAATTAGCATAGAACAACAAATAATTCACCTTTTTAGCTTTACTTTTTGTTCCAGCTTTTTTTCGGTAATAAATATGTAGATATCTGAAATATTTTAAGAAAGCGTAGCAGACGAGGACGTTTTTTCTACCGAAATACCGAAAAATCCGTAGGTTCGGCAAAACTGACTCGACTATTTTGTACCAGGAGCTGTTTACGATTAGAATCTATACCGGGGTGTTTCAAATTCTACTCTTACCATTGAAATCTCGAAAACGGTAGGAGTAACGAAGTCGCTTGAATGGAGGCAAAGTTGCGTATTTAGGTAACCAACAAAATGTGCTTAGAAAGTTCCGAAATTTGAAGTGCTTCCAGAGAGAGACGAAAAAAAAACGAATTTTCCCAAAATAGTTTTAATCTTTTTCTGACTTCATTTGTGGTGGGATTTCAAAATAAATTGCACATTAACATTGACACTTTTTCTTCTTTAAAAGATGGCGTAATTAGAATTTCAATATGACGTTTTGTTTCTTGTCCCCCAGCATCAACTTAATTTTTCTTATGGGCGCCATATTGGATTTTTGCACAGATGAATATATTTTATAATTCCGATTCCAAAAATGTATATTATGTCATACATTCTATTCCATATTATATTATACAGAAAAATAATTTTCTAGGTAGCCATTGAAATTATCAGATAGTCATTTGTTTCGTATGTTTCGTAATTTATCGCTAAATCATTTTTTATTCTGCGGACTACTACTTGAGATGGGATTTCAAAGTAAATTACATGTTGTTGTTTTCATTTTTTCTTCTCTATAAGATAGCGTAGCCAAATTTTCAATTTTAGGTTTATCCCTTCGACTTCGACCACCATTTTTATTTTTTCATATGGATCCTATATTGCAGTTTTGTACATTTGAATGGAATTTTCAGTCCTAAATTCAGTGATATATTTTCTAAGTTGGCCATGAATTTGTTGCTGGAACGAAAATTATAAGGAAATAAAAAGGTATGGTGGAAACTGAATAGGAAATTAAAATTTTATTGAAGATGGTCATTATTATTTATCTGCGTACAGAAAGGTATGCGTGCGAAAGTGCTACTTTCTATACGCAGATGCGTGTCGAAAGTGAGTACTTTCCGCACGCTGGTAGAAAATAAATATAATCATAAGTGAGCAGAGGTAAATCATATCGGATGTTCAAAACCTTCTCCGTTATTTCTTACGCAACGCCTAACTCTTCTCTGTACATTGTTCACTGCTCGGTTTATTTCCCATCTTCTAAGTATTCCAAACTCTGTGCACATGACGTCTTAGAGACGTCCATTTCAGGACTAAAATAGGCCTGAACGTCGCAAACATTTGAAGGAAGTCCTGAAGACGTCTTTCCTTAGACCTGCGAAAGATATCCATGTTTCCGTAATTGTAATGACGTCTTTAAGACGTCTTATTTCAGGCTTTGATCGAATAGATTTTAAGTACCTACAAATATTCAGTGAATAAGGCTTACTGATGGCGTCTTAAAGGTTTTTCACATGAGTCTTCCAAAATCAGAGAGGCTCAGATATATAGTATGTCACGGAAGGTCTTTTCGGAGACCAGTATAAGACTTCTGCATTTATGGTATTTAAAACGTCTTTGTGACGTATCGACTGGGCTCACCTAAGGCACAATAATTTTTTATAATTCGTTCGTATATGCATTTTACAGTGTATAATTATGTTTTTTGGTTTTACATGTTTCCCTTCATTAAAGGTTAGATTTGTGGCCCTAAATAAAAAAGGTGAAACGAAAAGTTGTGTAAATTTATTGTTGATTTGTGACTTGTGACTGCTGCGGTAAGTGAAAAGTATACTATGCCCCCCTCCCTCCTAAAAAGTATTACATGCGTGCTAAGCGCTAAGCGGTTCAATTCTGCTTTATATGAGAAAATACATTATGATACAGGATCTGATGCAAAAGGAAATTCTATTGCTACTGAAAATGATACTGATAAACCAATGGACCAGCATAAACCTATCGGGATGTTCGGACTACAAAAGCAAATCATACAAACATGACCGATGATCTTAAAGTCTAGCGCATCTGCCTCGTCATATTCAGCAGTTCCTCAATTTTTAACAGTTAACTTTATGTTATCTGAATGGGCTGTAAAGCATCGAATTTCTCATACAGCAGTGAAATACTTGTTGAGAATTCTGAGTATCTTTCGAAACTAATGTTGAAGCTGCAAATGTGTCGATTTAGGAAAATAGTTGTTATTTCTGGTGGAAGAGCTTTCTCATATTGGTGGATCAAACAGTTACAACGATGACCTCTATGGTGTGAAATGAACAGGCCCTTGCATTCAGCTGGATGGGAAGAAAAGGCAAGAGGCCATTTCAGGACACAAATTTGGGAAAGCTTTTCATATGTATGTTTATGTTCCATACCCTCTAAACCAAAAGTTTGAAGCAAAGAATTTGCAGAGATGTTTTTCTAATTCTCATCTCTAGAATATTTTCCAGTTACTTAGAAATTTGGAGCAGAAAGTTATATTTTTTCAACTTCATTATATCAACAATTTTCATAGGATGGTAGATGATTGAGTAATTCTAGCGCATATAATGAAGTCAAAGAGTCTTTACTGAATTCCTTTTTCTCTCTCAAACTTACTGTGGCAAAATCAATCATTTTTGGTGACATAATTAAAACTATAAAAGCCCATAAGATGTCTTGTAAAACAACATAATTTGCCTCTCATTTATAGTAACTAGCAATAAACATCACTTCATATAGATCATTTTGTATCTACTGTCAGTTTGATTGTCATTCCCATGTTTTTTCATTTGTTCTAAACTCTTATCTCAAAGCTACTGCAACTTTTACAATATACTTGTTCAAATATGGACCAAAAATCGCTGTTTCACTTTTATCTTCAATTCAAACCAATGTAACCATTGTATTCTCATTTTTAAATAAGTTTGGATATAATATTTGGTATTTATTCTCGGATGCTTTTATATTTTCAGGCTAATAAACTTATTGCTGGTGCTGCAGAGGGAGTCATAAAAAGCAAAACTGAAAAATCCATCCAGTTGTGGCTGAAAAGAGCTTCTAATTCTCGAAATCTCAATGTTATATTCAACACACTGTAGATCATGATATATATAAAATAAAAACCTTTTCAGTTTTTTATTACATTCTGCCTTTGTAAAAGTCTGTGAAGAATTATAGTGAACGAATCTAAGAAACGCCTGTATGACGTATACGAGTACGAGACGTCGCGTCGTTAAGATGCTTACGAGACGTCCCTAAGACGCATCCAAGGCGTCCATGTTATGTCTTGAACGCCTGTTTTAGAACAACAATAGACCAAAACATGACGTCTTAAAGACTTCCTGATTAGTAACAACCAGCAATGTATTTTGAAATCCCACTATAAATAAAGTCAGGAAAATTTAAAACGATTTTGGGAAATTTTGATTTTTTCCGTCTCTCCGGAAGTACTTTGAATTTCGAAGTTTTCTAAGGAGCATTTTATTAGTTACCTAAATACGCAACTTTGCCCCCATTTAAGCAACTTCGTATATCTTACCTCATACCAATTTGCTGTTTTTACTATAACACTTTTATGCCTTTGAATTTCTCTTGGACAAGTTAGTTTCAAGCATACAGGGTGTCCGTCCGAAGTAGCTCTGCAGCGATCAATTATTCAAAAAGGTTACGTGTAACAATTTGGGTTTATTGTGTATATAATTTATAGGAGCAATTTTGCTAAAATATATTCAAAATGGTGGCAAAACTGTCGGTTGTACCGGAACTATAGATGTCAGCTTGCTTATTTTGAATAGAACAACCATGTATGTTATTCCATTTTTCATGCATACCTATATAATCGGCTACCTCTAGGTCTAACCGTTTTAGATATATCTTAAATTTTACCCGATTTTTGACTGTTACAGATTTTTTTCCGAAAATGATCAGGAGCCTCTGAAATGCAAAAAAAATTTGAGCAATTTTCATTTTCTCGTTTTTTGCCCGCTACGCCTCCGCCACTGAGCTGATTTTCAAAAACTATAAAGCTTTTTCGTCCTTGGCAAACTAGCAATCTCGTGAATGTTTGATAAATACTTTCCAAGTTATAGACGGCAGGAGTATTACATAACTTGGAAAGTGACATTATGTCGGATTTTTGACATTATGTAGGTTTTTTATGACTTTATGTAGGTTTCCCTAGACGTCAATTTGGAACTAGCTGTCTTTCACTTCATGTTCACTTGTAGCAAGCACGGAATAAACTATTTGCACACTAACGTACCTAATTCACATTTTGTCGGTTTTTTTTACATTATTATAGGTTTTTTTCGTAATAAATCTGCGGGTCAAGGACTAGCGTTCAGGCAGACCCACGAAAATGAGTGACACGGTTTTTGGTGATGTACATATGTAAGGAAAACATATCTTGTGTTCGAATTTTTTTGCGGTTACCATACTTCCTTGCCAGTTGGTAAAAACCCACATTTTCTCTCACTGCAACTTTTTGATCAATCCATCGCTGCGGTTCTATGGTGAGACACGCTGTATTTTCAAATTTAATTTTTTTCTGTAGGTATACAGGTGAATTGAAATTTAAACCATGTCACGAAGACGAAATCGTAATCATAATAACCCAATAAGAACACCTGCAGATATAGATCGACAGATAGCTGATATGGATAGAATGAATGTATGCATGGAATTAAAAAAGCTTCTAGTTTATGCATTTGAAAGAAGAGTATATAGGCTAGACTCAAGTTCCAAAGATTATTTGTATTTTTGTCTTGCGAACTACTTTGCTCTAAATGAAAGTTCTTATGAGAGTTTTGGTAATGTCCTGGATCTTATGCCCTTGGAAATACTTTCCCAGAAAACTGCTAAATGTCTTTCCTTCATGCCAGGGGTGCATAAAGAGGTAATGTAATTCCTAAAACTTATTCTGTGATTGGCTCTCATGTGATCAACTCCTACATGTTCCGCTGGTCGCCAAATGAAAGCACAGATTCAGAATTGAAAGATTTATACTGACTGTAGATTTATTTATTGACGATCAGTAGCACATGGAGATTGATGAAGGGGTAATCTGTGTTATTTGCTGTATTTTTCTCTAAATTGGTTGAAATACATACTTGTGAATGTTAATTAAGCATATTTATGGGTATTAGAGCGAGTAAGAATTGGCCTCTTCATCCTTCCAATAGGGGGCATGTGCCAGTAACCCGGACACTATCAGTAGTCGGAAATCTATCATTGGTAAAAACTGGAATACCTATATGAAATCTTTTTCTTTCTGGTAATTGTTATCAGATTTATCAACCAATTTGTGACAATTTACAAATATTTCACATCCACAGATGTCATATTGACGCGTCAAAAACAGTATGGATTCTCTATTCGTTATTGCCCGTCAGAGCGGTTTGTGGGACTTTGTTCTTGGTTAAAGTATCCCTAGGTCAGGTCTGGTTGCCGAGATACCGGATAAAGTAAGTGGAAAAGGGAGGAAGAAGAAAGGAGGAGGAGGAAGCGCGTCTGTTGGGGGGGCTGCCTTGACATTGTTAACTATAGTCAACAGTATGCGTTCGACCTACAATATATAAATGATGTTTTTGAAAGAAAATTTCACATGTTCATTCCATTCAGGAAATTATACCAAGAAAAAATAAATTTTGTATATATAGTGAAGGCAGGTTAAAGGAGACAGTCGAAGCTGTGATAAATGTTAGGAAATAGCCTGAAATATGTAAACAGTATCGCAGTTCAAAGTCGACAGTGCAGGACCGGATTAAAAGAAGAAATTAGTTTCTTGTTCATTTTTATGTAGTTCGTGTGTATTTTAGATAAAAATATATATATACAGGCTGTCCGCAAAGTTGGGGTTTTCCTTTACACGACGTGTAGATCTTGAAAACATACGCAATTTTTCTTAGTACCATATACCCCAATGTCTTAAGTGAACAGAGATAAAGGGCTCTGCAACATCAAAAATATCTGAATACCGTCCTGTAGCCGCGACATCCCCGACTGGTACTAGGACACTAGCTCAACCCGACGACAGAACTGGGTCGGGGTCAGTGTGTCAGGTCAATATGCAACCTTCAACCGACGGTTACGGTCACGCGTCTAGAGGTAATCGCGTAGACGAGAATCCCTCAACAAGCACTAGAGTCGTGGCTAGAGAAGTGCAAGTATCAAAAGCTAAAGTATGGCAAACGCTGCGTGAAGAGGGGCTGTATCCGTTTCACGTCCAACGTGTACAAGCCCTTCAACCTGACGATTTTCCAGCAAGAGTACGGTTTTGTGAGTGGTTGTTGCATCAACATGACAATAATCCGAACTTTTTGAAGTGCATATTGGTGACAGACGAATCTACGTTCACGCATAATGGGGTGAATAACTTTCGCAACACGCATGTTTGGTCAGTAGAAAATCCGCACGCTGTCCGTCGGGCACATTTTCAACAAACATTTTCGGTGAATGTTTGGGCTGGCATGGTGAACGGTATGCTCATTGGACCATTAATTCTCCCAAATCGATTGGACGGGCTGCAATACCTAGACTTTTTACGCAACATTTTGCCTTCCTTGTTTTCCTGCGTCTGTTCGGTAGCGCATCAGATGATTTCATTTTCTGTTGGAGCGGTATGATTTCGGGCAGAGACGTACTTAGCCCTTCTCGTCAACTGGAGAGTGAGTACTTTTTCCTTTATTTTTTTTTACTTGGTCGCCCTCGTTTTACTACACATTACCTTTGTTATTTCAAGGGTAGTTGTTTCTGAAAAGGAAAACCCCAACTTTGCGGACACCCTGTATATTAAGAAGATTCAGTATGAGTATGTTTAATTCCTTTTACTCAAAATATCCCCGACATACCAGATTTGAAATGTATATACATACTATCACAAATTTTTAAACATAGTTCTGTCTAAAACTAGCTAGCCAAATGCCGCCCGACAATTGGCAACTAGCCGTATGACTATTAGCACCTTCTGTCCGAGCACTGGAAAAATAGCTCCTTTTTTCATAATATTTTCTTATAAAATTACAGGAATATATGTAAGCAATGTATTTGTTGTCGGCCAAAGGTTAACATCATACCAATACGACCACCTCCAAAAACATTAGTTTACTTAGCTTGAACACAAAATTCGTAATTACACTTATCCCTTTTTTGTCTAAACTGTCCGGCCTCTGGCATATTCACCCTACTCTTATGTTAAGGGGTAAAACGTAATAATTCCCCCATAGTCAGAAATTTATATGTTGCTAATCTTATACCTGCCTTAAAAAATGGATATAAAAGATTTCTACAATTTCAAAATGTCATACCATAGGTGTTAGAACTCCTTGAAATAAAGTGTGAGGCTCATCCACATCAGACTAGAGTAATATCCATGGTTATTGATGAATTTCCCATAACACCTTGGGTGGTAACATTTGCTGGTAGACTTTATGGTGTAGAGGATGATGGAGTTAACCAAACAGACATCCCTGCTAAGTTTGTCACGCAAATATGGATCACATCTCTAGGTAACTAGGAATTAAGTTTGGATGACAGCTTCCAATAAATAATTTCCCTGAGAAGCAATCCATAAGAAAGTATTTCAATTAGTATGCATAAAACCAACAGTTGATTGTATAACAAGTACATTTTTAAAAAATACAACCAATCCGACTGTAGTAACTGAAGAGTATGAATAGTTAAAAATTGTGCTATTAAGAGAAATCTAGAGACTCCTTATATGTCAAAATCCATCAAGCTGTTTAAGGTTTAAGGTGAAGCCAGTGGAATAGAAATTTCAACGTTGAACATTTTTTATTAAAACCCGTCATTTCGTTTTTATAAAATTTTGAAATGAACTTTTCTGGAAACATACCCTCGCCTGAAAAAAATACCCCTCCTTCAGAGACAGTCGGGTGACAGTGTGATGATTTTCTATCTCAAAGGGTTCCTGTGTGTGATCAGTTATATCAGATAGCTTCAAATACCTAAGGATTGAAGTTTATCTTCTATTGATTAATTTCTTCTTTTTACTCACACAGCAGGCATTTGGGTAACCCCATTGGCCTACTATTTCACTAGCCAACCCGCTACAGCATCTCAACTGAAAAGTTATATCTTTGAATGCATCACCAAGTTAAAATCAATAGATTTGGATGTCGTTGTGGTCAATACAAAGCTAAGAATTAACTTTTTGGAACTCTCAGAATTGTTGGGAGTTGGACCAGACAAACAAACATTCAAGGTAAGCATTAAGTACATCTACCATTTAACTGAAATATTTTTGTCTTAACCCAGCAAATTTGGTTTTCTCTGTGTAGTAATTTCCTATGATAGCCACATCTGGGATAAAATACCAAAACATAACCTATGTATAATGAGCTTAACTAATAAAAAGATGATATTACGGATGCCTTTTAAGTTTTGCATATGGAAATAAAACAACACGGTAGGTAGTTTTAAATGACTTTATTGTTTTTCGAAGTATTCTCCACGAAGATTAATACACATCTGCATGCACTCGAACCAATTTTCGAAGCACTTATTCCACTCGTTTTCTGGCAGATTCAAAACGTCATTTTTGAATGCGTTAACCGCTTCTTCTGGTGACTGGAAACTTTGACCACGCAGTCTGTTGTTAATTTTTTGGAAAGTAAAGGAATCGTTAGGACTTAGATCGGGACTATATGGAGGATGGTCCAATAATTCCACGTTTTCTTATATTAAATTCTGCCTAGTTTTTTGGACTGTGTGCGAGCTTGCATTGTCTTGGTGTAGTAATGATTTTTCTTTCGGGGTTGATTTTGCGAAGCTCGGTGATGACTTTTGGCAAACAAATGATAGTATACCAATCCACAGTAAATGTTATTTTTTCATTAAGAGGAATCGTTGCAATATGACCCGCTTTTGACACAAATGTCGCGACCATCTTTTTCGAAACACTTCGAGAACGGATGACTTGTTGGATTTTCTTCACCTTGGAACACCCAAACAGCCGACTGTCGTTTATTTTCTGGTTCATAACAGTCAATCCACGATTCATCACCACTAACAATGCTGTACACATTTTTTGAGTTTCCGGAATTGGAACGGTCAAGCGTTTTTTGACACCAATTAACTCTGGCTGCTTTCTGCTCTTCAGTCAACAGGTGGGGTATCCAACGAGAAACTAATTTTCTTACTCCTAATTCTACATGTAAAATTTTTTTAATTGAGGTTTTTGAGATCTCCAAGGACGCCTCAATCTCGCGATATGTCACATGTTTATCTTCAATGATGAGTTTGCGCACAGCGTTTTCTTGGGTGACTGCCGTTTTTGGTGCACCCACCCACCCTGGAATGGTCGCTAAGACTCACCCGTCCACGTTTGAATTCTCCATACCAACGGGAAATTGTCGACTGATGTGGCGCTTCGTTGCCGAAAACAGACAGTAACTCGGCAAGGCATTGTTGTTGCGATAATTGTCTCTGAAAGTTGTACTTGCTAACACCTCTTTTATGTAGAAAAGTTCATTTGTATACAAAAAACAAAAAGTTACAAACAAGTTTTACTAGATTCCCCGATTCATTTTATCGCTAACGTCGCAGGCTAACACAAAAATTTCACTTGCTGATCAGCTGTTCACCGCAGAGGGTTAAAATGGGGTATATTCCATCACGTTTTCACGTCAACTGAAGTGAACAGCTGATCAGGTAGTGACATATTTGTAATTAGTCTGTAACATTGGTGATAATGATCAGGTATAAATCTGGTAAAACTTGCTTGTAGCCTTTTTTATTTTATATGCAAATGACCTTTTTTTAAATAACAAGATTTGTTAGCAAGTGCAGAATTAATCTGTAGCGTACCAAAAATTAAGACAAAATAAGGCTCTGACTACCTGGCGCTGACAGATCAGTTATAATTATAGAGATTTTTTCGCGAGATACCGTAGTGTACTGGAGCGAGGAGCGGGAACAGATGGAATTTCCCCTTCCTCTCGAAGTTTTGACAGTAGTTAGATGGCGCATGTTGCCCAAAATGTTTGCTTTGAGTTCCTTGATAAACTTAGCTGGCGTGCTTGAATCTGAAATAAAAAGGCCGATCGTTTTTTGTGCAATATGTACATATAAATCAATAAAATCAATCATTTGATATGACAAGTGCGGTTCGTATATATCTTCGATAACCTTCTCCCTCGTCATTTAAAATTAGGTGGACGTGTCACTCTATTTATGATTTAATCATTTAACTCAATTTTCGGCACTGCGAAGACAAATTTTCAATTGAGATGCCTATTTTTTAAATGACATTGACATAAGACCTGTCACCCGCTAGTACCTTACAGACGTTAGGCGGGTACCTGTACCACGTGATTTTTTGACATTCGGCGACGTCACATCCGCCTTCCCCTATTCCCGTTTTTCGCAAAAATTTGAGTATCGGTTCCCTGTGTGCTACACCGTGGACTCGCGAAACAATCCTTTATGAGTCATTTGCCGATATGGGTAATTTTGAAATATTACTAGATAATCAGCTGTTATTCTATCGTAATGGATAATCGTGAAAAAGACAATATTGGATCGTGTAAAGCGGCTATTGGTGTTACTTAAAGCGATTACCGACACTAAAATACATATATCACAGCTTAAATAACAATCAGCTATGAAACTCTCCTGTCAGTTTCAAAAACGGCTGCCATTTCGGCGGAGACAATCGCATGTCATTCCCTTAAGTATAACGATGAAAAGGGTTCAGTGTTCAGCAGCTGGTGTTGCCACGTATCATGCCAACCGCTCCATATATTCTTTGCAAAAAGCAGTATGTTGGTCAAAAAACCAGCGACGTATGATTATTAATTTATGAAAAAGCTTAAAAATGAATATGTAATGGTGGAACTATTTGCGATAAACGGAAAAATATTTACTTTTGCTATGTATTCTACGCAGCTGCGATGTATTCAATATATTGCCTGTTTAATGTGAGCAGTGCTAAAAACACCAGACAAATACAACCTTCTCTCAATCACAAGAACTTCGGTGTCTTTGTCGCGGAAAAGTTGAGAGTACATGAACATTTAAATGAGAGATTTAAAAAACATTGTCATCAGTTAAGCTAAATCATTTTGCAAGAATATTTTATTATTCTTCGCTCATTCTAAACAAATTAATTTAGAAAATGCATGTGTTGTCATGTAATTATGAATCACGTTGCAGAGAGTGGCATAGTAAGGAGCGTATAGTTGCCTACAATTTTTATAACCAACTTGTCTAGGTATTTAAAATATCGACCTCTTACACATGAAAAACTCTCCCTGTATGTAGAATCATTCTAGTTGAGCGGTCGCCAGAAGTGTGAGGTTTGATTGCGGTGTTTTAACAGTATTTACATTGAAAATACAATGGATTGAGAATATCGCAGCAGCAAAGAATGCATAGCAAAAGTAAATGTTTTTCCGTTTATTGTCAATATTTCCATCAATACGAATTTATTTTAAAACTTTTTAATAAATAAGTAGTCATCAATACTTCGTAGCTTCTGTTTGAACAAACATATTCCTCTTATTATTGGTTCAACTACATCAAATCATACCGGAATAGTATATTTTTTTCGATTGCAAATAATATCTGCGGCCGCTGGCAGAGTACGTGGCAACAGCGGCTGCTGCTGAGGACTAAAGCCACTCTCGTCGTTGTACTGGGGGAATTAACATTAGACTTTCTCCTCCGAAATGGCGGCAGTTTTTGACAATAACATGAGAGTTTCATAGCTGATTGTTATCTAAGTTAAAGTACAACGATGAAAGATGTTTTAGTGTTCACTCTGTGGTTCGGCAACAGCCGATACTTCTGCGTACCATGCCAGCGGCGTGCGAAGTAAAAAGCAAAAATGTACAGTGTTGCATTTAAATTTTTGGGAAAATGTCCATCCCGTACAAAAGGAAGCGATAATTCGAAAAACTATTGACTTACGTTAAAGCTGAAGTGTAAGGATTTTTGGTAAAAAAATCAGTGCTAAATCTCTCGAACTAATTACCAAAACTCCATAGTTTCTTATATCAATTTTCTTCTTTTGTATTGGTTTAACCAAATATGCAATACAATTTGAGGTTTTTCATTTAGAAAATTACAACTTTGATACGTGCGTCAAAATTGGGACACACTGTATAGTTAGGAGTTAAAGAGTGTATCGAGAAGCTCTCTCATTATTCTCCACCCAGCCATGCATGTCTCGGTCGGCTAACGAATTCAGACTAGCAGTCTGATGAAAAAACCGCTAGTGTTGAAAAAGCCGTTAATTTCAGATTTCTGAAATAAACACTTAGCCCAGTAAATGAACACTTTTGACGTAATAAAAATTCTATAATGAAAGAAAACTTGGATTTAGGTTATTCAAATCTTCTTTTTTAGCTTGCCGAAAAGTTCCCGATGCTACCATAGGCAGGCTAAGGAAACTTTTGGAAATACATATGTACTTTGATATCAGATTTTTTGTTACGGCCCTGCAAATATGATGTACACTGAGAACCAAATTTGTCTGATGGCTTGAGTTCAATGTGTACGAGGGAGAATTGTGTATAGACACATATGTTAGTAAGAGATAGAAGCCGCTTGGATAGCGAAGCTCATCACTGCGTTGCCTAGCAAGACTGACGCGTCAATCTGCCGCCTTACCAATATGTTAGACCAGATCCTTGAATTTAGATGCATAATGGAAATATGCGTCAGTTTATTCTTTACGCCAAAATTATGGTTTTATTTTGAGCGTACATATTTTTGAATTGTGAATTGTGTCGATTCTGTTTAGGAATGATTCCCGATCGGTCCTAACCGCGCTCCATTTTAGGTGGAAATGCAAGGTCAGCATCACCACAAATTCTGCAACTTCCGCAACTAGGTTCGTTTGATAACACTGTAAATTCCAAGGCAAGGTTTCGACCTCCATGATCATAGTTGAGTGATTTTGATCAGTACCCATCTAGCGCTCGTAGCGCTGTTGCAAAATGTCACAATAATTCAGGATGTGTTGATTTTATCGCCATCGGTGGAAATCAAAGATGATAAATTAAATTAAAACACCTCCTTCTTGGGTTTGACAGTAACCTAACCTACTCTAACATGTGTTGATACACACTTTTCGCCGTCAAACAAATTTGGTTCTCCCTGTAGATGAAAAGTTGTAGAACAATTTTATAGCTTGATGAATAAGCTACAAAAGTTGTCACTACGATATTTTCATATCAACGTTCGTTTGCGAGATCAAGCCAATTTTCTGGGATCTGTCATTAGGCCACGCGTAAATGTTCGTAAGAGGATTTTCGAGCCATCTGATTGATAGAATAGTTTATCATTTACCAACCCATAATTAATGGAAATTACACAAGATGTAGAAAAGTGCTGAATTTTTGTGAGTGTATTAAAATTGCTCCATTAAACGTATCTCGTGGAAAAATGTATTTCAAAATGAACAAAAACAATTATTGTAGAAAAGCAAAAGTACCTGCTTTTCAGGAAAGAAAATATAGCACAAAAAATTCGACTATTTCCAAGCAAATTTTTTGTACAACATTTAACAATATCTTGAAGAAAAGTTTATATAAAACACCAATAGTAACAACATGAGGAGTTGAAAATATATTTCCTCGAAAGCACTAATAGTTTTTCTGTACATGTTGTATTGTTCAGATAGTATTCATATTTCATAAAACAACATTTTTGTAAAGACCGTAAAAGTTTTTTCATTGTGCTCAGTTTTGAGAGAAAATTTGAGAATATGCTTAATAATTGTTCCTGAAAAGGTTGTGCCTACCCACATTATATGTGTGTTAAAAATAAAAATAGGTACCCCAAAAAGACACAAAAAAAACATGCGCCCATAATTACCGGTTTTTAAAAAGCTGACGGATGTCAGCTACTTTGGTGCAGTGGTAGAGCATCTACCTTGTAGTTTCTTAATTCATTAGTACAAGTTTTGCTTATATTTCATGGGAAACACTTTTTAACCAAACTCCAGGAAAAATCTATGAATATGGAACTTTTTGGACTTTTATGTGCTCTAGTTTCTTTTGCGTCATTTTATTATTTGGATGTGACATTAATATAACCACATGCACATACATATTATCAAATTAGTTAGCTAACACCAAGCATAATACTGTAGATAATTTTGGAAAATAAATATAAATTGTTGCTAACAAATTTGAATAATATGATACAAACCCCCTCCCCTCCAAGAGCCCCTAGTTGAGGCCTGACTAGTGGAATCGTTATGCTGTTGGCGTATCTATTTCAAACGACCTTAACATTTATATATACCAAATAGCCAACCTTCCCTAACAAGCATAACGTTTTTTGAAACCTGTAAGGCAATTGGCATAATGTTGTAAACGAACGTATATATGAAAATATAGTACAGACAACTTTTGTAGCTTACTCAGCAACCTACAAAATTGCCTAAGCACTTTTTTTATAAAGCTAATTTTCACGACCGTAACAAAAAGATCAAAAATCAAAAAGATTTTCATAAAATTGTCAGTCGCTGCCTACGATAGGATCCGGAACTTTTTGTTATGCTAAAGAGCACCATTTCGATGACCTCAATCCAATTTTTCATTCATTATAGAATTTTTGTGAAGTTTTGGAAAAATGTTGTGTACCCTTACCGGGCTACCTCTCAATCAAAATATTTTCACTGAAGACGAGTTCCTTCCTGATTCTATGACAGAACAAAGGATTGATGTCTTAGATGACGTAGACAGGATTGACCCAATCATGCAATTAACGAATTATATTAACTTGAAGAAGACAGGACCGAAGGCAATAACCGAGAGGATAACGTTGGGGAGACACTAGTAGAGAAGGCAATAGTGGAGAGAGCAATAGAGCTGTAATTTCTAAAAAAAATAAATCGGAGAAGGAAAGGACTTAAATCTACTTTACTCACTTCTACTACAAACAAAGAGGAATTCAGAAAATACAGAGCAGGAGAAGAAAAGAAAGATGGATCAAAAACCAAGAATAAAAAAATAGTGTCTGGCTAAAAAAAATCTCCAAATAAAAAATAACGAGACCTGTTCGGCACGATAGTAGTAGTAATCAGCATCTTCCAAACAGTGATGTTGAAGCAGTCTCTGCATTTATCCCAGGACTGTTTCTAGTTGCAAAAGTATATGGAAAAACAAAAAAATCATCATTTCGCCATTAAGTAATGCGGGTTACTGAAGTGATGGCAGAAATTGCAACAGAAAGTATTACAAAAGAGCACCCAATACAAAGAGATTTGTTGAAACTACTGAAGAGTTCTTTGTCAAAAAATGTGATGTTGTAAGGAGAATCCTTATGCCACTAGCAGGTAGTTTTGCGAGATCCATGGATTCAGTTACCTTTTCAACAGATTTGAGGGATTTTGTTTTATAATAGAGATTTTTTCGCTTGGTGGCTTAGAAAATACTTTTATTTTTATGGAAATATAATCTTCAGTTATATGAAATGTAGTTTTTCATTTACTTAAAGTACTTTTGGCCCAAAGCGGGTAAAACTCCCGGACTTTTACCTATTTCGAAGGGGCAAACATCCGAATTACAAGTTTTGATATGGTACGATCCTACCTTTACAGGAACATATAGTATATATAGCGAGTTAGTTTTATAAGCCAAAAGTATTAATGGTACTAACATGTCAACCACTTTTAAGTTCGTAGTATACAAATGCAAAAATACGTAGCTTTACCTACCCTAAGCTCTTCATTGAGACCAAGCAACAGGTGTTTCTAGCGGCTTGCATGTCTAAGAAATTAAATTCTTGCCGTATAATCGGATAAAACATAAATATCAAGCACAGAACATGCCGCCAGTTTAATAAAATTCGTATAAATAAAGTTCATGTTCTGCTGATCGAATGATTTGATAGACGCAACCACCTTGAGGTACAGCGTGTCAGAGGCTGCTGCCTTGGCATCCCCGTTGTAAGTTAGCGTCCAGTTTCTAGCAGCCAATTCTTTTGGGCATTCGCATCAAGTTTGCTGCCATTTGTTATACGTACAGCTACTTACTTTATATTATTATTAAGTATGGTATGTTTGTACTGGATTCAGCAACAGACCTCGTCGGAGAGGAACAAAAAAAAAGATATCTCTTCTACACCTACATATAAAAAGTGTAGTTTATTCATGTCCATTCTGCAACGGTTCTATTAGGTTCTTAAAATAAAGTTGATGCTGGAACTCAAGAGATTAAACGTCATATTGAAATTCTAATTATGCCATTTTGTAGAGAAGAAAAAGTTGCAATATTAATGTACAATTTATTTTTAAATCCTACTAGAAATAAAGCCAGGAAAAAAATCAAAACGGTTTGAGAAAGTACTTTGAATTTCAAAACTAGCGGCATTTTGTTAGTTATCTAAGAACACAACTTTGCCCCTATTTAAGCGAATTGGTAGCTCCGAGATTCCAATGGTACGGTCGAATTTGAAACACCCTGTATGTTGGGTTGAGTTTGAGGGCCTATGCCCATTGAGACATTTGTTAATGACACCGAGACACATAACATATAAAAAATTCAGTGAAATTAACCGAAACCATATTTCCCTTATAGCCGTGTTGCTGGGTCCGTTGTAATTTTATGCAAATGCCTGGAAGATTTGGCTGCTAGACACCGGTAGGCCAAGGCACCAACGTTTAACACGCCACTATACGAATTCTCATCAAAATTGACCGCGGTGTCGGAATTCCGTATGTTTTTTGAGTGCTATTTTATTTCATGTTCATAGGTGGAAAACAGCGAAGTAGTCTTCATGTTTGATGCGTCCCACATGATGTGTGTGACTCGTAATAATTTGATGAAACATTCTTTAAAAATGGAAGATGGAGGAGAGACCTCCTGGAAACACATTAAAACGTTTTTTGTTAAGGAGTCTGGGAGTGATAAAAAAAACACAAAACTAACAGAGTCCCATATCAAACCGAATAAGTACGAACGTACTTTGCCAGCTTTAGCTATAGACGTGTTAAGCAACACTGTAGCCATAGAAATGAAAGCATATGTAGAATCTGGGAAATTGTCTAAGGAAGTATTGGCTACCGCTGAGTGCATCTCCATATTTGACAGGTTTGTATATATACGTATAACCGCCACGGGCGCCCGTAGGAGCTTTTCTCGGGTTGGTGTTACCAAAATAGATCTTAGTAAAAAATACCTTTTTTCTTTGGGGAGGCAGCTGCAATGTCTGACTTATGAGATTAATCAATCTATCAATTGGTCACGTTGAATAACATGTTGGGCGTTCAATCAGCAGTTACTGTCATTTTTTTTCCGATATTACATGCATTTGTGTGTTGTTTTCTGGTGTAGCTGTTGGAATGTGAGCATATTTTCCAATGTTTTTGTATGTTTTACCTGGCCTAAAACTCGAATCATCCATTTATGCGTGTGGCCTAGTTTTTCAAATTCCAATTCTCTATTGTAAACAATCCTTGCTTTAACAAAAGTTTACTTAAATAATGGCAGCGATGTATAGGCTAGTATGGCCACAACTTAAATAACAATCAGCTATGAAATTCCTATGTCAAAAACGGCCGCCAGTTTAGCGGAGAAAGTGAAATGTGAATTCGCCCAGTACAACGATGAAAGAGTTTTTAGTGCTCAGCAGCAGCCTGTACACTATATCATATAAATATTATCATTTTAAGATTGCAAAGGATATCTGCGGCCGCCGGCTTGATACGAGGCAACACCGGCTGCTGCTGAGCACTAAAACCTCTTTCATCGTTGCACTGGGGGAATTTACATTCGGCTTTTTCAGCCGAAATGGTGGTAGTTGTTGACACTGACACGAGAGGTTCATAGCTGATTGTTATCTAAGCTGTGGTATGGCTGGGAGAATCAAAGCTGTCAACGGAGATGGGAAAAAGACAGCCTTGATATAAAGGTATGGTTGTAGTCACCGTTCTTGGCGGGTCAAAGTAAGACTACCAGTATCCCTTTACATATCTCTATCTTCCTCATACATACACATGCAACCTACCCTGTGTGAACGTTTGTTCGGTAAGCTCGAACGTTTTTTCGTTGTGTCTCCGTCTCGAAAACTTTGTCGTTACGTATGAGTGCCCTTCAATCATATTTGTCAGGGTGACAATTTACTTGATATCGGCATGCAATTCGAGTTGTCCTCTATCAAGCTTCAATATAACATTGTACAATTCCCAGAAATACGATCAATGGAGAAGGCCGACAGCTCGTGCTAATTTATTAGAGTACTTCCAGAAAGAGAATGGAAACAGCGCTTCCCTGTTACCCAATTCATGCGTACTGGAGAGAATAGCAGATTCGCTGAAGATTAGTCTTTGCAGTGTTCCGCCCATGGTACGGACACTCAATCTGTTTACTTATTTCATATGGCGTTGATGACGTAACCGCCAAGAACGGTGACTACAACTATAACTATTTTCACGCTTTCACGTCTATTGATGTAAACACCCGATCAATAATTTACATGTCTGTTAATAACCTTAGATATGTCGGATATGACCCCCTGCCAAACTAGCTACTTCATCTACTTTTCTAGCTTTCCAGACTGACATGCATGGCTTGTCTGTTCCGCTGTATGAGAGTTGATGCAAAAAATTTGCCTGCATCTGCTTAATTTGTATATTTGATTTTTATTTTACTTATAACTTTTTTATCAAGAATATAATGCTATATTTTTTTAGGTTGCTTCATATGCTAAATTCAGTACACGAATCATCTGTTAACGAGTATGCCAGTGGTTACAAGGCCACAAAACAACAAACAGAATTTCTAGAAAAAGTCATTCGATTCCTGCAAACCCTAAAAGTTTACGATAACAAGGGTGAAGACAAAACTGGTGAAGTTAAATTCGTTAACGCCTGGTTGACTACCGTAAGAGGTTTGATGAAACTGTGGGAATATGTCAAAGAAAGAGAATACGAATTTTTACTTACTGGGAACATAAGCTCCGTACCATTGGACAAGTTCGTTAATACATGCAGATTGATTATGTTTGGCTACAATAATCCATCGCCTTTGGAATTACTCAGTAGCTTCAGGGATGTGTCTGTTGCATCTTATTTCACATTTGAAACCCCACTTCCTATGGAAGATATGGATATAGAAACACTTGCACTGTTGGTTTATAAGAGAATCCCAGCTGTTCGCCACAATTTGGGCAATCAGTCGCAGCAAAGCTTAGTCAGTATCGATAGGGAGGAATGTATAACGATGATGCTAGAAAGGCTCTGTCTCGATATGAGATTCTGATATTTCCACTCTATTATCTCTAGTTATTGATGGCTTGATGGTAATATTAATTCTGTTAAGTCTATTTTTTTTACTTTTTATTCGAATATTATTAACTGTCAGTAACATATTATTGTATTTTATTGTATATTTTTTACTTCATGTTGGATTATATCATGATTATCAATAGTAATGTCAGTTTCACATTTATTTGTTACCATCTAGGAAATGACATCCTGCAGGAATAATTAGGTTCTGTATGAATAAGTGCTCAGCCATAAAAATTATATTTTTGTACTGAATAAAATGTTCTTTATATCACCTACGTATTTTCTTAATTTAAGTACAGGGTTTTTTCCTATAAGTAATCCGAAATAATTATAAGGGTTGTGCACATTTCGGTGGAGTATTTCCATTTTCAAAAAATATATTTTTACGTTTTTATAATTATTTAGACTCTGAATGATGTTCCCTTTCCCTTAAATCATATACTCATACAATATAGGTATATTGACTAACATGTTTTATCAAAATACACCATAGTAAAAATATCTTTTTTTATTGAATAATGCAAGCAGTAGGACATTCTTGTTCAATGACTATTTCAAAAAAAACTGCTGATGTACCAGTTGTCAGTGGCGCATAATTACGAATATTTTAATACGTTTATAGTACTAGTAGTGGCTCGCGAATAGCATCAGTTATATAAATTTATACTATATACTAAAACATGTTTCCGGTTTTTTACATCAGACACCAGTAAAACGTCTTGAACGTTTAAGAGTCTAGGAGAGACACGTTTAAAGATGCACTTTTTGCACTACTCATGCTCGAAAATAAGAGACGATTTATTATACGAGTATATGTATGTATATATTAGGAAAACGGTTAATGCTTTCATGGACTTTTTTTAAGGAGGAAGCTTCCATACGATTATTTTTATTTATTCTGCTCGAATAACTAAGATATTTAAAAATTTAATCTCGTACGCTGCCCAAATGGTGGATCATACATAAATGTTACTACTACGAAAATAAGGGTCTTCAAGATAACAAAAAAATCCGCAAAAGCATAATAGCGATCCCTTATAAACAGCCGCAGTAACGCTTTTCATGAGAAAATAGTCATTTTGTGTTTGTGAGGCCCAGTTTATGGGATCAAAAAGACCAAAACCACCATAATCGGTGGATAAATTGTGTGATTAAAGTTGGTCCAATTTTCTGTTAATTTACACCTGACTAAATTTAATATAAGTGTATTATCGAATGTTCCAATTTTCATTCTTGTGCACTGGTAAAATTTTTCAGGATGCTGTCGCAATTTTTCATATAGAGTATGGAATTCACCATATTCTCGCCGGCATTTAAAAATTTCGTGGATACTACTGGCTGGTTTTTATAACAAATGCAGTTCCATAGTTTAGATGTATTACTATCCAAAACTTGAGATGCCCTAAACATAATTAGAAAATAAGTTGATGATACTCGCATTAAGGCGACGTCCCTTTTTTCGCTTTTTTTTTCAACTACCTTGTTTGTTTCTAAATCCTTTCCATCTGATTATTCCATGGTGTGTATAGAGATGACTAAAAAATATCGTTTTTAATTTTGTTGTGATAAGAACAAAAGTAATCACTTGTTTCATTCTCCCATAAAAGAGGAATATTCACACACAATTTCAGAGCTGTAATTATATTTGTTAGCAAGTTCCGAGTGTAGAAAAATGCACGATAAATGCATTTTTTGACAAAAAAAAAATGAAAATATTTCTTATTCTAGTAAGAGGTTTTTGGGAAATATCTCATTTGTATTAATATTTTACAACTTTTTGCAATTCAAGATGATTTTGTGGCCTTAAAAATCATATCGTATTGTAGTTTTTCCACTGATGAGCTCGTCGACTTGTAATACAACATTTGAACCAGTCAAAATCAACAAACATGCTAAGAGTAAGGAACGCGCATAAATATTATCATAATTAAACTGAAAGGAAGAATGAAAACTAATTCCGGTCCTGAGCTAAGATGACGCCTCAACGCTTCCACGCTACAAGACCCGATACATTAACGTACTAAAATGGATTAGTAGTGCTTGGGACTTGTTTAGTTGAGAGTCTAGTTACCGCGTGATATTCTTTGTTGTTAGAAGAATTGTTATTTGGTTATTCTGTGGTTATTGTTCGGATTATACTTGTGTTTGCTTAACGTTGGAGGGTGAGACTGGGAGTGGAAGTACTGGAAGTCAGGGAACAAGTAGAAAGCTTCGTAAGGCACTGAAAAAGGACGCGAAAGAAATCGTGCTTAACGTGTTCAATTATTTGAACAAAACTATGTCGCAGGGAGATGCACTTCCGCATTGCGAAAGCATGGCAGGCGTCCCAGAGTGGACTGTTAGCAGGGTGGTGTATGAACAGAAGAAAACTAGAGTTACTGCTGATTCAAAAATCCATTAAACTAAATGACGACAGCAAAATGGCATTAAGACTAACCGTACCTTCATTCTTTTTTAGGAATGACATACCAACCGTTAAGGCTATAAGTACATGCAAATATCAAGAGTAATGACATTATACCGCCAGTGAGCGTCGAAGTATTAAGGAAAACCCTGCACGAACTTAATTTTTATTACGAAACGCGTAATATTGGAGGTCAGGATTGATAGAGAAACCTGAAATAGTAGCGTAGCGTCGAAAATACCTACGCGCAATAACTAAATATAGACGACAGAGCAGAAAAATATATTATTTGGACGATACGTGGGTAAATGCAGGTCACACAATTAAGTAAATAATAGTTTAAAAAACTAAAAAAAAAAAACACGCTTTTAGAGCCGAACAAAAAAGTAGAAAATAATTTTTTATTACAAGAGTTTATATTATAGGAGTAGATGGTCGAACAATCATAATTAATTACCTCAAAATAAAATTATGTATAATAAAATTTGAGTTATTAACAGAATAATTCAATCCAGAGTAAACAGTGTGGAGTGCTTGAGATATATTGTTACAATCATTCTATTGGCAACCGTCTATGAGAGAGAGAATTGAATTATTCTGTTAATACCTTGAATTTTATTATAAGTAATTTTATTTTAAGGTCATTAATTATGATTGATTGTTCGACCATCTACTACTGTTTATTTTTCATTTTTTAGTTCGATTTATCAGTCAATGTTTTGTGTAATCTTATCATTTCATTTAAAGCTTCACTGTTGCATGGTTTTTTCCTGTTAACTTAGAGCAATCAACTTCTTCAATCCGAATACCGTCTAAAGATCTTACATGACTAAGTGCTACATAAACTTGTCCAACAGCAAATAGTCGCGAGTCTAGATAAATTGATTGCATGATCGACTGTACAACCTTGCATCTTGTGGGCGGTCGAAGCCCAACTCAGGATCAATGGCAACATTCGCAATAAACAAGGTGAGACTGCACTACCTTGAAAAAGTATATGCCTTCGTTGTGCTGTGCCGAGTGCCCTAATCAACAAAGAGTAAGTCCGAAACTGCACCCATGCGCAGATCGCGCGCTTGTTTTGATGTTCACGTGAGTCATTACAGGTTTAGATAGTTATTGTATAGTAGGTATCGCTGGATGCGAAGGACAAACAGTATAAATCTTAAAATGTAAGTGGCACCTCAAGACGCGGCAACATCATTTTGCCGACGTACAAAGGAAGCACACGTGCACGGTTTTCTACCCCGGAACCACAAAACACATAAGACTGTAGAAGTGGGAGCTGCACGTTAAACAACGGCAACACCGTTGACGTTTTGTCAGTATAATGTCAACAAAATCGATATAAACCAAATTCAAGCGGATAACCAAATGAAAATGGTATTTACCATTTTGGATTAGTATTTACCGATCCGTCCAAGCGAGTGTGGTTATCAGTTTGGTTATAAGATCCGTGACGTCATGAATCAGCCGTTATGTCATAGTTATCACCGCAAAATTGTGGTATTTACCCAACTCAGGAGTAGTTTTATATTTCTGGTTATTATTTGACATGTGACAAGAATTTTGCCAAGTATTGAATACTTTTATTGTACTTCAGCTTCATTTTTGGGAAACTTGATACAGGCTGACTTCAGTTTTAGCATAAGAAAGCACCTTATTATTTATAATCATTACTGTTGTTGGGGACACTTTAAATCTAGTTCCTACGCTTAACAAAGTATCCTGTATAGCCACAGGAATATTAAAATATCGCCATATAAACTCACTGGATGATGTCCACCTGTATACGGTTTTGTTAATATCTTGTCATCGCTTTTCCATCATTTCTGCTAAATCAATAAATATTTTCTTTTCTGAAAAAAAAACATTCCTGCCATTAATGTTATGAAAGTTTTCTTTTTTCAACTTTCCATACCCCGTTGTAGACGAAAACAGAAACTATATACACGCTTTTCTAAAATAAACAACTTGCAACAAACCGCGGTTAAAACCAACGCGTTCAAGCGATTCAAGTAAATGACGTCATCATCCCGTGTTTCATATTGAACCATTTTGTAACCGCGGTCATAATACGGAAATTTTGGTTATTCGCTTGGATTTGATTATAGCGTCACTTTTCAAGATACATGATACCCGCGCGGATAGTCGAACCAGTAATCAAATCCAAGCGAATAACCAAAATTTCTGTGTTATGTGCCGCGGTTATAATATGGTTCAAGATGACACACGGGTTGATGACGTCAGTTACACGAATCGCTTGAACGCGTTGGTTTTAACCGCGGTTTTGTTGCAAGTTGTTTATTTTAGAAAAGCGCGTATATAATCTCTAATTATTTTTATTATCACTTAATAATCGGTGCTTTTTCGTCTACAACTGTATATGGAAAGTTTAAATAAGAAACCTTTCATAATATTCATGGGAGAAATGTTTTTTTCAGATTTTTTTTTTAATGATGGAACCATGGCTTTGTAGCTGTGATAACTTTCAATTCTCTAAATTTTTCCGCATGTCAAAGAAAACATTTATTGATTCAGCAGAAATGATGAAAAAAGAAATTAGCAAAACCGTATACAGGTGGATATCATCTAGTGAGTTTATATGGCCATATTTTAATATTCTTGTGGTATATGGCTACACCGGATACTTTGTTAAGCACAGGAACTACATTTAAAGTGTCCCTAACAACCGTAATGAGTATAACTAATAAGGTGCTTATGGTGAAACTGAAGTCAGCCTGTATCATTTTTCTCAAAAATGAAGCTGAAGTACAATAACAATATCCAATACCCGGCAAAATTCTAACTTGTCACATTTCAAATAATAACCAGAAATATAAAACTACTCTTGAGTTGGGTAAATA